AGGCCATCATCTAAATGGTATAGATGCATTCCCCTCAACTCATTTATAAATACATAGCAGATTTTGTGGATTAGTTTATAATAATTTATAGGGTAATACTTAGAAAACAAAATGAACAGGGAAGACAAATTGTGTATAATAACAGTTAAAGGCCACTGAGATCTTCTTCCAATAAAGGATTGGGGTGTTGTACATGTAAACTTGTAAGCTCTGCAAATTCTTGTTCAAGTGATCCCTTACTTTTGCGTTGTAATTCTAAGTATGATATTCAAATAGTATCCTCCTTCTAATGTGTACTATTAAGGGTGAAATTTTTATTGAAATACTTTTCTGAATGGAAATTATTCCTTGTTAAAAAGGGATGTGCTAATAAATGAACAATAATAAAAGCACTGGAGCACATGGGTTTACTTTCAGTCAGAACAAATTTTCTGCAAGAAGACTTTGGCCTGGAATCTTTGCTTACTAAGGTGATCAGCATGGACACTTAAGTTTTGGATATTTTACTGAGATCCTTAAAAAGAAAGTAATCTTTCAGAAAGTTCTGAACAATTAACCTCCAAGAGTTGACCATTTGAAAACATAGGAAACAAGTTTCTAAAATACAGTCACACAAGTTGGTAGGAGGGTTTTTTGGTTTGATTGTTTTGGGTTTTTCTCTTTAGTCCTTCTTTGCTACTGCTGCAGTCATAAGGTAGGGAGTAGCAGAACTTCCATATTTCAGTGGGTTTGATGGAAATAGGAACTCCAGTAGATCTGGTACTTGAATGCTCTTGTAATGAGGGTCAAATATCTTAAATAGCTAGTCATCCATTTTTAGTTTGCTTCTCTGTTTCTTGCATCAAATTAGAACAGAAATCCATAAGCTGAGTACAACTTCTAAAACTTAAACTGAAAAAGGGAACTTAATTTCTTAATGCTGAACTTTGAAATCCCTTCTTTTAGAAGCTTTATGGGATGAAGAAAAGGACAGAGAAGCTGTACTATGTCTCTTTGTGCTTAAATGTAATCTTCTCCTTGAAACAAAACAAAAACCCAAACAAAAAGAACAACAAAAAACCAAAACAAACAAAAACCCACTGAACACAGAGTTAGTAGACAGATCAGATTTGTACCAGTTTTTAAGTTACAGAAAATTATTAAGGAAAAATGAGCAATCAAAGATCCATGTTTCTTGCTCTTCTAAAGCATGAAGAAAACTGCATTTTCTTGACAAACAGCTTTTTAAAATACTGGAAATCAGGATTTTAGTGTACTAGAACTATGCTTTGTTCAGTAGAAACTTTAGTTTTTACATCATTGGAATACAGTAGTGTCTCATTTTTCCTTCTCACATTCTGAGGAACTTTTCCAACTATTTCATATGGTGCCAGATCTATTTCTGAGTCCTTCTCTCCCAGTCCGGACATAGAAACAAGAACACAAGGCGTACATTAGTTTGTTTGTATTCTTCTACCACAGATCATGTAACTAAGTTCTTTTTTTAGAAAATAAAAAAAGAAATGTACTGGAAGTTATGGAGGAAAGCCTGTTTCTGTTTAATCCTACTTTATCTCAAAACAGGGCTATGTCTCTTCTTAAAAAGGCAGAAAAGACTTAACTAGCCAAAACAGAGAAGCAACTTCCTGCAAATTCCCAGTTCAAGGCTGTCTGAAAAGGATATGCTGCTTGTAGAGGAAATTATTTTTATGTTTGTACGCAACATTTATGATAATTAGAGAATATAGAGAAGAGACAGTGACCTAGTGTTGGAGAAAATGGTTTAAGATGTGAGAACTGAGGAGCTGTATCTTTAGCTGATTGAAAGGATAAACTGAGTATTTTAGAGACATTTTCATTAAGAAAAATATCAGATCCTTAATTAATGAAGAAAGCTATAACAGCAGCATATAACTGGAAGTTTTAATGTTACAGTAATCAAGGAGAGCAATAGTCTCTCCATGCATGTATTAGTCTTATGGATTATACCTTGTATAGAGGTAGCTGTGAGATGGAATGTTTACAGGTGGCCAGATTAGATGATTTCCAGATCGAACTCTTTTAAGGTCTACATTGTTATCTCCATGCTGTATCTGCTTTTCCTTCCCCCTCTTCCTTCTTGCCATAATTCTTGGTCAGGGTATTTATAATGAATTCCAACCTTCTCGACCAATGCAAGGTTACAAATTTCTGCACCAGCAGCTTGCTGAATACACTTACCTTGCGCTATAGGTGTCCTTTGATGATGAGCAGATTCTGTCTTTTTCTAGGTGGCAAACCTATCAGAAGAACAACTGTATTTTCCCTCCCTTAGAAGGAAACCTATTTTTCAGCATTAACAGAAATAGTTGGTGGGTTTTTTAAAAAGTATTATTTTCACATGATGAAAGAACGAAATTCCCATTGAATAAAATGTCATATTTTCTTCCATCTAATGCATTAGAGTTTATTGCAAGAATTCAGTTGTTGGTAACTGGTTTGAATTTTAAAAACTTGCTTTTGATTATGCTATCAAGTGTGATCTTAGGAAGAAATCAGAGTGAAATGCATTAGCTATGGAAGTTGTGAAGTCAAGGAATTTTTTACTTTGCCTCCTACTCTTGCAAGTTATAGCTGTATTCTAAAAGTATGCTTTTAATGTTAATTAGGTGTTAGTGGTAATAGTACAGGTCTACCAATGCTCCTTCAAGCATTTTCTGAGGTCATTGACACCACATTTTTTTTAATAAATAAAGACAATATAAAAATAATTAAAAAAAAAAAGGACAAACCTCTGCAATTCCACCCTACCTCCTACCCCAAAGTCAGAATGCATTACCACAGTACCAATTGTACATATGCAATTATGTGGTAAAATGACAATCACTGTTCAGCTGGTTATGTAGACAAGCCTTCAGTTTGTTGCCTGAAGAATCTAGGAGTAGTGTCTCTAGAAATTACTGACTGTTTTATTAAGATTGTTTAAAGAATACGTTTGATTTGGGATTTTTTTTTTTCATTTTCAGAGTTGATCCATGTCTGGGGAAGGAATGAGGGCCTATTTCAGGAAACAAAACATTTAACATGCCTGCAAAAATGAAGCATTTCTGTGTGTTGATTGGCAGAGACCCTGCTTATCTCCCTCCCTTCCCTATTTGGAACTAGTCTTATTGGCATATTTGCATCAAATGAACCATTCCACCACTTTCTGTGTGCAATTCCCATTAGCAGTTAAATATATGGACTACAGAATACCTTCTGCCACCCTTATTCCAAACATCTCAATCATTGCTTTCTTTTTTTCCTTTAATCCTCCCATCTCAAACTCTTTTTATTTTCTTCCACCTCTATTTTCTTGTCCCTAGCCTAGAACTCACTTAGGGTTCTGCCACATGAATGGAAGTGTTTATAATGGCTTTGCCTGTGCTCTAGTGATAGCTCCATTTTGTGTGCACTTGCCCGGACAATTGAAAATCATTGTGTAGCTTGTTTAAAGTGGAATTGGTTTTTGTTGTCCTATAACATTTCCATCTGTTAAACTCTGACAGTTCAGCTGCTGATCTGTATGTGGTGGAGCAGTTTCTGCAGAACTGGGAGTTTGGTAATCCTGTAGATGGTCAGGCACGTGCTTGCTGCTCTGGACCACTAAGTTTATTCCCAGCTGAACTGCCTTGCTTAAGAGTTGATCTTAGCTGCTAATACAGTTCTGTCAGCTATATTAGAGCACTCTGGCTCTGCTACGCTCATTATGCAAGATGTTGACAGAATGCTGTGATACAGCAAAATCTATATTGGAAACTTCTATAGCAAAATTTGTGTTGAGATAGTCCTCTAAAGCTACATAATAAAATATAACTGAAAATATGCCATGGTCTTGGCATTTCAATTGATTCATTTTGTGCTTTATACTCTACCATTTGTATATCCAGTCATGTAAGATGATAAAGATTGATGTATTCTAAATTAGAATACATAGGTTAAAACCCCTGTGATCCCATACAGAATTAGAAGGCGATATATAGAAGATATATCTACAGTGAAAGATGATGTCTCAGTGTGTAGAGCTGGTGAAAGGGCTGCCTTCATGTTTTATTTGTTTGGTTTTGTTTGTTTCACATCAGTATGCTGAAAGGGGAGAGTTTGGCTTCCATGCTGTTGTTTTGTCCACCTAATTTCTCTAGTCTTATGTAGTTGAATAACGGGACAGAGAGTGTCTTTTGGTTCAGTGTGTACTAAGACTTGAAGGAATTGGTTGTTTAAAATGATTGGTTTAAAATTAATCTAGATAAATCACTCTGTATTTTTTTTACTGGGGATTTGCACAAAACCATCTGGGGGGTTGTGGGAAGAGAGTCTGGAAACTTTCCTGGGGTACACAAGAAAACACGTCCCTCCATACTTAGTGATTTTTTCCACCTCAGGGTATCTCTGAGGTCCTAGCTTCTGATCTCCTGAGACCACACAATCAAAGGAGTTTGGGGGGCTGAGCCAGACTAGAAAGTAAAGTGCATGTTGGAACTTGGAGGGAATAAGGAGGCAACGGTGGGAATCCAGTGCTGCTGTTAACGTCCTCACAGCTTGTTTTTCCAAAGAACAGATGTGTTCCTCGTTTACCATCCTTCTTATACTTCTTTAGTAAGCTTAGTTGTGTCTAGTAATTACAGTTGGGAATCATGATGGTCTTTCTGCTGTAGAGTTTGGGCACCATTGCCAACTTTATTTTTATGAAATTAACAATTAAAATCAGATTTATCTGTACAGTGCTAGTCCTGATGGAATTGGGATTTGCTGGCATTACTGTCATGCAAACAGTGAGCGTGCAAGAAGATGCTGCTTCCTGGTTTAAAATTCACTAGGCACTTATGGCATGCCATCCTGAATTTTATTAGCCTCAATATAAAGAATAAAAACTTCAATAGCTTCTTTACCAATGATAACTTTTCTTTTAAATATCTTCAGTTCTTACTGCTGGTTAATGGTATGCAGTGGTTGATTATGAATATTCGAAAGAAATATAAACAATGTTCTGTTTTGTTTTTCAGAGAATGCAGAATCAATTGATCTCAAACAGTTTTTTGACCTACATTTCTCACATATATATTATGTGTTCTTTGAAAACTTTGTGACTATTGAAGTAGGCCTTAAACAAAAAGGTAAGTATTCTAAATAGAACATTTTTTGTCGAAGTTCTTGTGTTTTTGTTATAAAATAACATAGGGTGCTGTAAATAAAGCCCTATGCGGTCACAAATGGTAACATTAGCTGTGCAGAAATATGTGTAAGCACTAACTTTGCAAATAAAGGCAGAGCAGTGAGACATGCACAATGGAGGTGAGCAAGAGGTGTTTATTCTCTGATGATGAGGTTTGTCCTTTTGCAAAGTGAGGATTCTTAAGGTGTTATACTTCATGTTTTGCAGAATTATTCTTTAACAAGATATTGTGTAACTTAATCTCTCCCAGCTGTTGATGCCATAATAGGAAGTTATACAAACTGTACCTGTTATAAACTGTATTTATGAAATGTAATTTTTATTTGCATAAGTAATGCAAAGTTATGATTGCGTAAATGCAGGGTTTTGTTTTACACATTTAAGGATCTTTGTCAGTGCTTTTATATTTTGTTTTGATAATGAAAGTGCATCTTCTATTTATTTTTAATTGCATCTAGGTCACAAGTCTCAGAGAGAAGAATTAGATTCTATTCTTTTTATTTTTGAGGTAAGATAATTTGAATATGTTTTTTGCTTTGAATTAAGTCCTGTTATTCTACAGTTGCCTGGAAATACACTTTGCATTTAACTGCTTTCCTTCTTCCTTTTGCTTAGAGCTGAATTTATGTGCTTTATGTGAGAAGAAAAAGAATTCGACTTGCAGTTTTGCAAGAAGATGTCTAAACTGGAAAAAGATATTTTCTATGTCTGCAGATAGTTCAATACTCTTTGGTGGTGGTGTTTCCCCCATAGTGCATTATACACTTTGAAATGCTCATAAAGTCAATCTCTGTTTAGTCATGATCTGTTTGACTTTTTGGTTGCTGTTATCTCTGATTTTTCTCATAATAGATTGCTACTGCAGAATTGTTTTTTATAGATCCTTTTTACTTTCAAAAAGATTCATTATTTGAAAATTGCATTTCACAATATCATTTCCAAAAGCATATCTTGAATTAATTTAGGTAAATTAGAAACTAATTTAATTTAATCAGAACATTTCTGAGCAGACACTATAGTTTAGAAATAGCTTAGAATGTTAAATTTTTGTCTTTCCTTTTTGATGGAGGCTTCTAATTATAGAACAAGGACTATGGTTTTTTTTTTAGATACGTAAAACTGAAAGCTAATCAATGCTTATCTCATGATTGAATACAAATTCAGTTATTATTTATTGATTAGTGAAGTATGTTGGTGAATCTGAAGAGAGCTAGTTCATTTGTTCACTAGTTCCTGCATAAAGGGATATTAGGTGATCTGTGCTTTGGAAGCAGTTGTACAGGGTGCTGGAGGGCCACATCCAGGAATTTATTTGAGAAACTAGGTTATTTACAAGTTGCAAGTGGCTCTAGTTTAAATGTTGCAAGTGCTACATGATAAATTTTTAACTGCCTTTGTTACTAACTGCTCTGTTTCTTACTGTCTGAAGATGATCATCCTCCAACCTAGGTGTAGAGGTCTTGTCTTGGTTGTTTTGCTGTAGCTCATTACCCCTCTGAGAAGGCAGAAGCGAATATTTGCTTGTGCCACATAGGCAAGCTGACAGCTGAACATCCTAGTTTAAGCCACTAGAAAGGTGGAATAACCTAATGCAACCTGTTGTGAACTAGAACTGAGGCAGACGCTCATCCTATTGCATTCCCTAGGCTATAAGCAGCAGTATCTATCAGAGAGGCAGTGGAGCCAGATGAACTGCAGTAACATCTGAAGTCTCCAATGCAGGATTTGTCAGACAGTCTGTCAGAGCCTTTGGGCTTCTTAGCTTTAGGAATGGGATCATCTTGAAAGGACAATAATGCTTCCAAGGAGAGCAGTGTGGGAATTTTCTAAGTTGGTGCTTTGGTTTCTGACCTGTGGCCTTTGTGAAAGCACTCTTTTGTCTTCCAAGAGCAACATCTGCAACATACATCCTTGGGTTCTGTTTTTTTATAGAAAATTTTACAACTCCTTCCTGAGAGGATTCATCAGAGATGGCAATTTCATAGTATTGGTAAGTTGATTTTCTTTACTTTTTATTTTTTTTCCTCACTTTTTTTTTGTTGTTGTTCTTTTTGAGCTTCTTTTTTATTAGTAGATACTAGTAGTTTATGCTACTCATTTCCTTGAACTTTAAGTGGTGTACCAGGGATTATGGTCTTGAAACTCTTGCAAGCTAGGTTAAGGAAAAATATAATAATAAAGAAAACAAATAAAAAACCCCACCAAAGTAATGAATGCTCTTTTAGGTAGAATTAAATCTGGGAATCTGGAAATAGAACAGTGGCTGAGAAAGAACAAGGACAAAGTGGAAAGTTTAAAGTTTTAATTATTATTTTTTCCTTATTTTTTTCTTTTAGTAATACATTTCAAAATTGACATGAGGTTGGTGTTTGTAAATGGGGAATGCTGATTTTATGCATAGTGATAACTTGAGAATGATTTAATTTACACATCTCAGAAGTCCTTGGGGAAAGATATTATACATTATGAGGAAGCTATAAAAGGTGATGTTTGGTTTTTTCCTTCTGGCATTGAGTCAGTTGCCTGAAGATATCAAGGTCACCAAGATTAAACTGGAGATTGCCAAGGACTTGTTTAAAAGTTACTATCAAGTCTGACCGAGAACTCTGACATCTTACTTATATAGAAAGAAAGAACAAAAGCAAACAAATATTTTTTTCCTTTTTTTTTAGGGTTGATTTTAAAGAAGCTTCTTCACACTGGAAATTCATTAAAGGTATTGGAAAAAGTTGCATACTACATTTGCTTAAAATACTTAAAGATACAGATAAGAACATAACAGCAAATTTTTATGGTAAAAGCACAGGAATCAAAACCAGATCATGACTTGTGTGTCGTGAAAGAATGACTTCAAGTCATCATCTTTACCTTGATAGAACTACTCAGAGTAGTAATGTGTTTATATAGAGTAGCCAGTGGTTTAAAGGATTTTGCATTAACACAGAAATATTGCCTTAACCGTTCATTGTTAGGGGCAAGGAAACTGGTTTCAGGATTCAGGAATCAGAACTACCTTGGAAATGGAAGATTGCTGGTGGGTAGAGTAACTTAAATGTCTGACCATGGAACAAAAGCCACTCAAATGTAACATGTAGTTTTGGTACTGCAGCAAAAAGCTGCTCCATTCTTCTGTAAACCACCTGCAGGCTTGTCTGATACTGAGCCAGGAGGGGAGTGCTCTAGGACTCCATCACCTGTTTTGAAGGAGAAATGGAAGAAGGTAGAATGGGTCATTCTGATACAGAAAGCTCACTCTGTTGTTAAGTCACGAACACATTTAGAAATTTTATGTCAGTCTTTATTTTCTGAAAAATTCATGTGGTGCCTTGAAGTGCTGTAGTCAAGCAGGTGATTAGACACGTGTTGGTTTTTTCCTCTTCTTTCAGAGAAACCCCTATGAAAAATTCTGTGAGACAAACAGCAGTGAAGGTGCCAGGGTTACCCTTGCATTTCAGCAGGAGCAGCAGATGTGTTAGATTGGCTCTGCTGATTGCTGGTGGTCATACTGTTTGCCCTCATTTTTTCTATCACTCACCTTCGCCCTCCAGGAAAAATGGAAATTCTTTTGTATGTTCTGGGACAAGATAACTTATTCTGTTTTTTTTTTTTCCTTCTAAGATACGTCGAGAGGGAGTGCGTCTCTTTCTTTTGTGGCTGCAAGCACTTCAAAATAACTGTAGTAAAGAACAATTATGGATGTTTTCTTGCTTGATTCCTGGATTTTCATCACCACAGTCTGAATATGGCCCCCGAACACTTGATAATCTCATTAACCCTCCGCTTAATGTTCAAGAAAGTAAGTTATTTGGTAGTATTACTCAATTTTCAACATAATTCAATTCTTGTCACAGAAAAGGCAAGTTGAGGTAACAAAAACTAAAGTACATATGTACCCAGGAAGATGATGGAGCTATTAATGAGTTTCTTAGCAGTTTATCAAGTCTTCTTTCAGTAGCAACTGTTTTGTTATTTTTCAGGATGAGTTGTTTTTTGTGGTTGTTGGAATGTTTTCCCTAAGTATGGCTATTGTAGCTTAACACATAGGGGGTGAAAATTAACTGACCAATTTTATGCAATTCTTCAGAATTGCAAGAGGATACTGCATCTACTGCAAAGTTGCACATTCTGCTTGCATTGAACATTTGCACTGGCTTTGTTCATACTCCAGGGACCAAGCTGTGCAAAGCAGTTTCTGGTGTGGCCTTTAAGAGAATGAGTGGTTTTTAGGGCACTGTGTAAGGGCAAATGTGTCTGGGTATGACCAGGCAATTAAGGCTGTGATATTTTTGCAACTTGAAATCTTTGAAAAGCATCGGACCTTGTAAATTGCAAAACCTGAGGTCATAAAGGTTTGCATCAATAGAAAAGCATGAGCATTCTGAGATAAGGTTTTTATACTTTCTAGATTTTTTTTTTACTGGTAAGGTCATTATCTTGATTCTAATCAATAGAGGATAGTTTTTCTCTTAAGATGATTCTTAAGACAGTTTTTCCTTTGTTCACTCTAGCAGTAAGTATCAGATACTGGTTACTTCGGGGAGCCTCTTGCCTACTAACTCAATTTATTCTTGTTAGTGGGATTTTAAGCTTACTTATTAATGATTTGCAATTGGATTGGGTCCTAAGTGCAAACTGTGCATTCACATAAGTGGGAATAAGAAGTTAACCGCTTTTTCCTCTGAACATTAAGTGCTGTTGCCTTTTTTCCATCTTCACCCAGTATTTTAATATTTTATTGCTTGTAGAGGCAAGCAGTGTCTCTGTGACTAGTTATTAAATTTTCTGAAACTTAGCAGACAAATTTCATGGCAGGATAGCTCTGCAGGCAAAAGTTTGCTACATCCTTAAGCCCTGTTTTGCAGTTATCTTGTGAAATGCAGAGTGCAAACAGTGAAATGTGAGCATCTAACTACAGGAACAGGAGAAAACTCAACTCTGAAGTAGCTTCGTTGTTGAGGCAAAGAAAAGATACAGCTAGTAAAACTTAACAGAAATGTAACTGATCAACTATCAAATGAGAAAATTGTGAAAGATGTAAGTAAAGATTTGGCATTTGTGCAACATAAATGTTACTCTATTGTTTGCATAAATTCCAAAAGAAATGGATTACACCTTTTGGAAAAAATTCAGTTTTGGCAGGTAGATTCCCAAGGTGCATTAAGAAAACCTACTTATTATCTACTGTGCTTTTTATATGGGTAAGAAATTAATTCTGTGGTGGTTTATTAGTTAAAATTTCCTGATTTTCATTAATCTGTGGGTGTACTGTTTTACTTATAACTGTCTCTGCTTACCCCAGTGCATTCCTACTTTCATAACTCAGTAGATATTTATGTGTGAGAAGAAATGGTCTAAATGTTAGGTGTACTTCTATTTTTCTTTAAATAGCTCAAGTGACTACAGAGGAAATCACTCCACTTGTTCCTCCACAATCGGGAGATAAAGGACAAGAAGATTTAACTAGCTATTTTTTAGAAGCACTTTTGAAATACATGGTAATTCAGGTATGTTCTATAGTTTCCAAGCAAACAAGTATGAAACGATTAACACCTCTTTGTCCATTACAATAAGTATTTTACTTTTAGCACTGCAGATGTTTATAAAAATCCTTTAAAGATTCCTCCCTCTTGCCCCTCCCTCAAGTGTCCTTTGTAAAAAGCAGGTTCTCCTAGAAAAATCTTCACTTGTCTTCTATGTGAAGATTCCTAGGTCTTTTACCAGAGGATCTTCCATCAAATTGTGGCATAGAGGAAAAACAACTTGTCAGTCACTTCCAGCTGATTTCAGTTCCCTTCCCATTTTCACCTCCCCTTCCCTGCCTTGTTGCCTTCAACCAGTGGATCAACTGTGTGCAGAAAATGAAGACTTGAACGAGTACTTAGTCCACTGTGTGCAACTCGAGCTCACACTATATGTCCTTCCCCTTGTAGTTTGGCACTACCATGATCTCAGCCAGTACTTGAAATGCAGGGCAGGGCATGGCAGCAGCTTCTGTCAAAAACTGTGGCCTGGCTGTTATATGTTGTGTAACTGATTTGCTGGCCAGCTAGCACATGCTGTTTCTGAGCCTGCTCTTCTGTCATGTGCACAGCAAGTTACTTGACTGCATGACACATGGTAGATGTTCCAGGGTACTGCCTTCTGGGTTAGACTTGTCCAGCAGAGCCCAGTTGGGTATCTTTCCATAAATTTTCCTTCACACTTTTGCAGATTTTCTAGAGAAGATGGGCAGTGTACAAATATGACCAATATTAAAGATTTCATGGCTTCCCTTTTTCTATCCTTCTCTGTGAACTTTGCCGTGCTGGAATAATTTGCAACCTCATTTTGTTGCTTCCAGCATCCCCTAGTTTGAATAGAGGTCATCATACTTGTGATCTGTAGGGTAAGCTTATTACTGACTATTCACTTAGGAGAAAAATAGCGTTTATGTTTTTGAAAACAACTGCTCTCTCTGTAGTGAATTGGTAGTATTATATTTGAATGCAGATAAGTCATTGAGACAGGTGTCAAAGGGCTTGTTCAGTATGTGAGTGCTGAAGTTTTGCTGAAGTTTCTTTAGAGGCACTGACAGTTGCAAGCTGAGTAGTTACTTCTTTGATATTAAGTTCTGCTAAAGGACTTTGTCACAAAATAATACGTATCGCCCATTCTATTGAATTATATTGGGGGATGAAATATGTATTCCACTCTAAAAGCCCTGAAAATAGATCATAATAGAACTGTGGCTTTGAGTAAGGAATGGAGGAGTAGAGGGGAAAAGGAAAAAAAAGAAGGGCAAATTACCCAGCTCTGCAGGCAGATGGATCCTTGTGAACAAAGATGGAAACTGCATGTTAGATTTCTTAAGGAGAACTTACCATGCTTCGTACTGCTTACCACGTAGGAAAACATTTCATAATGGGAAATGCTTAGTACTCATGATCCATGAAAGTACATTTGTGTAACTCAACTTTAAAGTTGTATCTTCTGATGCACATGGTTGAAAAATGTTTGTTTCATATTGCCAACTATACAAATGAATCCGAGTACTTATTATAATGAATATATGGACACTTATTAGTTGAAATGTGTTAAAAGAAATTGTTAAAGAAATATTTGGAGTGGCACGGGTAATTATTCTTCTCTTATAAAACATTTTGAAGTAAAACAGTTTTATTAAAAGCAGTGGATTTGAGTTTACTCCGTGACTTAGCAAGGTGACTGTAAAGGCAGATGTATTTCTATTGGTTTAGGTATTTAGTGTGTTCAAGTTCATTTTGAAGCAATGTTTTGGAAGAGAACAGCCTTTGTTTCTTTGTTGTTTCCTAGCTAGTTTCTTTTTAATCTTTCTGAAAGTCTTTATTCAAATGTATGATTGTGTTTCAAAGAAATAACTGATGAAATGTCCTCTTTGTAAGTTATCTTTCTATTCCACTTATAGATGTTTGCTTTGTCCAATTTCTTTTTTTAAGGTTAAGAGTTTAGAATGGAAGAACAAGGAAAACCAGGAAAAGGGATTTTCATTTTTATTCTCAAATTTTAAGAAATACTACTTACCTTCTATTTTCCCAAACATCTGTAAGGAGAGCAGCTTGTATAACCCTATACTTGGTAAGTGTTAACACAGCTGATAAAATCATTACATTTTACTTAATACGGAAGTTATGATGCGATTAGTGAGAGATGCCTCTGCCCAAGTTAAGTTGCAAACTAGACCAAATGCCAATTGAACAACACCAACTTTATTTTGTAACATTAAGTGTATAGAGGAAAGAGAAAGAGAGAGAAGGAGAGAGACAGTACAAGCAAAAGATAGTCACCACCTGTAGATCCAGCGGCATCCCAATGATCCTTCTTTATCTTGGGCTCGGTGGCATGGTGGGGGACCCAGTTCATTTTTCTGTTGGTAAGTTCTGTGCAGAAAGGGGTACTGAGTCCATAAGGTTTGCTGCTGACTACCAAATCTTTTCACATTTATACATTTTAGCAAACAAAGGAATTAATGCTTATTGGCTACAAGTTACATAGTTCTCTTATTAATTAGTATTCTATCTTCTGTTGGTTAAATGATTCCCTTGCTTCTTATGCTAATTAGTGTGCATGCTCAGTCTTTCTCTTCTTTTGCGTCATGGATTTCTTGAGTTGGTGGGCCATGAGTCAGTGGTCATGATCTCCCCCTGCCAGAATTACCTTTTACCCAGTCAGAGCTGATTTCAGCACAATTGCTGAGTTGGTTTTATTAGTTTCTTCCTTTTCTTGGGAGTTGTGACAAATGTCCTTGTGGCCCATAAATTTTGCATTCTTTGTATCCACTATCAGTGATATATCCTTCTTCCCAAGCTTTGTTAACCTCCCGCTAGGTCTTAACACCTGGACAACTGTGCTACCTGTATACAGTCCAAGTTCTGGGTATCCACAGAGGCGTATTCCAGGGGGATTGGGTGGCTGTTAATGGTCGCAGATGCCGTCTGTCCCATAACTTGGGATGATCTTTGTTTGACCGGTGATACGCATATGAGCAGTTGCTTCTTTTCCACACAGTCTGTCACCATGGGGATGCATTAACCAGGATGTGCTAACCAGATCTTGCCTCTGCCAAGGCCTGGAATTAGCACCTTCCTGTCAGAAATTCCTCCCTTGTATGGCCTTAACAGTGTTTGAGGCTGGTAACTGTGCTCTCTAACAAGAGAGTATAGCAAAGTTTTTTGCTCGTCATGTTGCCCATGAAGAGCATTCTCCAAAAGTATTTCTCATGAAAGAACATGTTATAGTTCCCATTCATGATTTTCAGTTCTTCATTTGTGGAGGCTTCTGACTCTTTCATTAGAGTCAATCTTGCTATATTAACCTGATTAAGGTAAATGAAATGTTCTTGTAAAACAGATCTTTAATGTGATCTCTGTTGTTGATCTCAATTTTGCTCTGAAGAGAAACTACTGCTGCCGAGATAAAAGGTGTTAGTGTGCTGTTCTTTGAGTGTGTTGTCTTTATCTGTACAGAATCATAGTGTTTGGATCATACAGTGCTTGCTCATAGTTCTGATAGAGCAAAGTTAATTAGGCTTTTGTGCCAACTGCATTTTGTCGAGAGCTTGGAGTAGGAAGAGGAGGCTAGAGTTTAACACACTCTTTAAAGCTGATGGTGCTAGAATGTATCTTTCCATATACAGGGTGAAATTTTAGGTTTAAGCAAACTTAAGTAGAGTTTTACTCAGAGATTTTTAGTCCATTTTTGAACTAGAATGTTGTTTGCAAATCTTGATTTTTGTTGTATCAGGTTTGCATGCACCTATGCAGTGTTGGTTGTAAGCCAATAGAGTTCAAGACTCTTCTTTGCAAAGTGATATCAGGTATTCAGGCTTTAAGCTACCATTTAATTACTTGAAACACTACTTACACAAACACCTCACCTCACTGTTCCTCTTATCTGTCGGTGCAGCATCTCAAAAGCATTAGTAGGGATGTCCAGCCACAATTCCATATTATAAAATCAGGCTGTCAGGGAAGTTTTTTGAAAAGGTTGTAGTTTCTTCCAGTGTATATACATTTATTTGGATTTCAGAGATGGTTGTTTCAAAACCATGTTTTCTTGGGAAAGATAAACAGTGGACCTTCTCATCTAGGGGAGAAGAGACAGTATAAATCTAGCCATAAGTAATAGTAGAACAAGAGTTATGTGAAGATGCTGAAGAGGTTCAGCGATAAAATAGCCACAAGAAGGATGGTAAGCAGTGCTGAGAAAGCAAACCTACTGTTGCTTGATGCCCTCGAACAAGAAATACGGAAATTATATTTTCTCTTTCTGTGAAGATCTTGATTTAGTCTTCTTTAGAAGTGTTACTGTAGTCCTCTGTTTTTCTGTGAACCGTAAACAAGAAACTTCCAAGACCTTAGGGAAGAAGAGGACAATAGGGAACAAGAAGAAATGGGCACAGGCACAGATCTCCAGAATTACCGTGAGTGCCTTAAACTGTGCAAAGTCAGCAACAGTGATGAGGATTTTTGGAACAATACAGTGATGAAAACAGCAGAAGCACTGGTGAGTAGAATAATCTTTTCTCCTCTAAGAAGTTCTTCTCTGACATGCATCTTCCCACCCTATTTGAAAATAATCCCGTGTCTGTTCTGAATTTACAGCATTTAGGCTGAAAGCAGGGCAAACTTGGGCACTGAGCCTGCTACTCAAAAGAGTTCTTATCCTACTGGTGTAGTGTTTAATCTAGGAGAAGTCATGAGGTACAAATCAAAACAGTAATTTTAATAAGCATGCATTGATACAGGGCTTTACTGAATATAGTATATTAGACTGAGGTTTCTTTTTTTCCTTCTTTCCTGCTTTCCTTCTTTGTTTTCAGATAAATATATTGGTTACAGTAAGGAGCACCGAGCATTCCAGTTACAGGAAAGCTAGTGTTGAAAAGCCTATGAGATCTGTTTTTTTGTGGGGATTTTATTTGGGATTTTTTTGTTTTGGTTTGGGGGTTTTTGTTTCTTTGTTTGTTTTTGTCTTCCTGTAGTGTCTTTGTTAAACATCTGTTGAGATTGAGTTAGAAACTGTTTAGGAAGAACTAGAGATATGGCAGTAAGATTCTAGGGGCATTGCTTCTTCCATTATAGTAATGTGCCTTTCTATGCCGTTTCCAAGCCATTTAGATGGGCTCCTTCATGTACAGGGAAACAATAGAGTGGGCTGTCTTACAGTTTTCTTCAGCTCTTCATTCCTGATGAACCCTTTTTTGTCTTAAAAATTGGTCAAAGCTTACAGGTATCCACCACTATAACTGAGGTTTTGCTGGCCTTTTCATTTTCTACCCTGTGTATGTCTTCCACCACCTACAGCTTCCTGCCCTTTTTGGCATCAGCTCATGTCAGGTTCCCAGAGGAGGAAGGGCAGCAGGTGTGGAAAGCCCAAAACATAACAGAAAGGAAAAATGGAAAGTTGGGGGAAGGGAATATTTCCTTTTGTGCTGTTTGAGTCAATCTAACAAGCTCTATTTTGCTTTGGTTTTATGTCTGTGTCCTCATCTGAAGCCTTGATACCTACTTCCAAGATGGACAGCAATGTGAAAATAGAAGAAATGGCTGAAGAAGGATACATTTGAGAAGCAGCTTCAGCACATACTGCAGTTGGAACAAAATGTATAGAAAGGATGTTCCGAGAGGATATCATGAAACTAAAAGGAGACAATATACTGCAAAGACATGTTTACTGCTTTTTAGTCCTTTTGAAAATACTGCAGCCTTTGTGCTCTGCTGAATGCAAATAGATACCAGAGAGAACTGATTTTTGCATCTTTAAATAATGTGCTATCAGGCATTTGCTTTCTTCTTTCACAGATTGTACTGTTATATATGCATCTGTTTAAGATACTAGTTTTTCATTTTATTACTAGCCTGCTGCTTTCCACAGAATGAAAACGATATGCTGAGGTTTTTCATTTGCAGTAAATAAACCATTTGTAAACTTTTCAAAAAGTATTGTGTGCATTTGTTACTTACTTAGGTGGATGGTATGCAAGAATCGTGGTTTTTTCCTCTAAAAATTATGGTTCCATTGATAAGTGTGCATGGAACTTTGTAGCGTGTTCTGGGAACATTCCTCAGTTTAGCAGCATTGTGATGAGTTTATCGCTACTTAAGTATGTGGCTGTTGAAATGGCACCGAGATACACCATCTTGGATATCCTCGGTGCTGGTGCTGGATTTTGTGTATTTGTATTGATAACAAGGAAATCTTTGCAGCAGTCTGGCAGATAGGCTGGCTTCACTTTAGATGCCTTAAAAAGGCTGTCGTAATTTAATTGCCTAGATAGTAGTAGTTTATTTCTGTGCTACCATCCAGATAGCTTCTGTATTCTGATACCATAAACTGGCAAAGTTATGCAGGATCCTTTAAAGCAACTCTTGACCTTGCATTAGGAAGATCCGATCAGGGAACAACTTTATACTGTTCAGTGTGACTACTGTACATCTTCTTTGACTCTCTCCGTTAGTATGTTTGAACTGCCCTCTGGTTTGTTAAACCTTGGAACATCTCTCTTGCTCCTGTAGTACAGGCTACAGAAGAGTTGAGGCAGTGCTGAAATACTATTTCTGTCCAATCTATCACTCTGTATCTGGATAGGACCGTAATTTTCTATGCTTCCTTCTTTTTGATCTTGTTTGTTGTTGTTTTGGTTTGGATTTTTGTTTATGCTGGGGGTGTTTTGGTTTGGGGTTTTTGTGCTGTCACTAGTTTAAAATTGTGATACTGAAACACCAGCAGCAGGGTGTTCTGACAGCACATATCATAATCTGTCCTCACACTAATATTCATCTTCTTTCTGTATTGGAGCATATCTCACACTTGCCCTTCTAGAGCTAGGATTAGAGTTGGTTGGCACACCACTCCCAGAGAAATCTCATTTGCACATGAAAGTACCGTTGCCGCTTCAGGTTGATAATTAGTAACGCAGAACTATTTTGCACCCTGTCTTGGGTTATGAAACCCAGAAATTACATTTTGCAGTGTTGAGTCACAGAAAAATGCACAATTTTAAAACATTATCCATGTGTTTCCCCATCTTTGTAGTGCTTTTACCACACATGTCCATTCTATCCACATTGAGTTATTAAGTACTGGCATATTTTTTTTCTGAAGCAGATTCAGGAATACTGATGACTCCAGCACAGTAGAGAACCAGAAGCGCTAAATAGTTCTGAACTATCATGTTGAACATGCGATAGCGAAAATGGAATTGTCAATTATAGGCCCCAAATAAGCACAGTTCCTGCCAGTTCGTGGGCTGCTGGACATCATTCATTACATTTCCTGCAGGCCAGTAGGGAATAGCTATTGAAGCTATTGCCACAGAATAATCTTTGAGCTAAGTCATGTGCCTGTGGTCTGTCAGCAAAGTCCAGCAAAACTAGCCAGTGCAGATGTGGCACTAGGTGAAGCTACAAAGCTCATATGGCTTTGGAGCAGGATTTTTCTGTTCTATTCATATTTCACCTATTGCAGGATCGGAAGAGGCTGTGTTTATTGTAGCTGCTGTATACATTTGGGAATTATATATCTTCCATTGTAGCCATGGTTAGATTTGACAATATCTTAATTTTATATGAACATAGTTTTCTCGTATAGGTCATAGTCTAGTTAACAGTTATTTTGCTACTTAAAACTTCTTTCTAATTTTTAATGCAAATGTGAAGTAGTGAATTTGCTGAAGTTTATATTTAAATATTGAGTATAACATGTAGCTTAAAAAAACCTGAAAACAAGGAAAATAAATATATTTACTTGTTTAGGAAAAAAAAAGCAAACAAAGATGTAAGGCTATAGAAATCACTGTCAGATAAAAATAGTAAAGGTTTTGCATAGCAGAAATAAGTTTCTGTCTTTTGGACCAAACAGTGTTGTCTCCCTCCAGGAGAAAAGTAAAGTGTTTTGATGTCTTATAATAATTGAAATTTTCTCTATTGCGTTCATTTCAGCACATCTTGGAATGAGTTGTGCAACAGTGAATGCAACAAAACACCTCTGAAAGTTCACATGTATTGTTTATGGTTTTAGGATTTCTTTCTTACACAGAGCTTTCTCTCTGCACATATTTTTAAAATGTTTCATTTCTTCACAGATATACCACAAATGAGACCAAAGCCACATTATGTAATGGTTAAGAAAGATGCTGAAACCAATGAGGCAATATATTGCACAAAGGAACCTTTTATTAAGGCTCGTGTTATTGTCATTCGATGGTTGGTGTCTTTCTGGCTTGAGCCAAAACCGCATACAGGACCTCATATTCCTGGGATGGAAGGTGAAAATGTGCCAAAGAATATTCAGGTAAAATCAAATGCACCAAAATGTGTTTGTTTTCATGTTTTTGTCTTAATTGTTATGTCAGCAGTATGCACTCCTATGATAATTACAACTAATGAAAAGTTAAAAAAGGAATTTCTGAACAAATGTTATGCTTATTAATTCACTTCAGAACAACCTACTATGCTGCTTTTTTTTGTTTCAAATTCTGCAATTTGTTTTTAATCAAATAGACATAAGAACTCTTGAAATGCAGTGAATCCTTTTTTGTGTGTTTTTTTTCTTGAATTCATTGTACTGTTTTGAATTATACTTGTTTAAGTATAACGTTTATATAGTATATAAACATTATATATTGTATATATTATATATTATCTATACATTATATATTATATGTATACATTATAAATTTTATAGATATATACTATGTTTAAGTTGTATAACTTAAATTGTACCATTTGATTGTTGTACTAAAAATGAGCTATGGAATATTCTTTAATTTTTATTTCAGAGAGCAGCTGCTAACATGGTTTCAAGGGAGGACAGCAAAAATGACAGTACTGATAAGCAGGATAGAAATGCAGAGCCAGAACAATCTCATTCTAATACAAGTACTCTAACAGAGAGAGAACCAAGTTCTTCCAGCCTCTGCAGTATTGATGAAGAGCATTTAACTGATATTGAAATTGTCCGCAAAGTCTTTTCTTCTAAAAGAAGTAATGTTAATTTTCTAACTGAGATTTTTCGACAGGTAAAAAACCCTCTTTAAAATGCATGAATCTTGATTATTATATTATAAATTATCGTTATGTTCTGGTTTTCTTTCAAGAGCACTTGATCAGCAAACATTATATAAAGTTACAGTTCTTCTATCGTCTTGCCTTTAAGGATCTGTCATCTTACCTTTAAGAATCAAAAAGCTAAAATTCTGAAATATTTTCTGTGTAGAATATCCCCAGTTCCTGATTTTTCTAATTTTATATCTTTAATAACCAGTTTGACAGCATTTAACTTGGACTTCATAGTTTCCCATAAATCGGAATGTTTCATCTTTTCACACATCAACACTGTAGCTATTGGAACTCACAACCAACCATATTTACATAAGCCTCCTGTGGGAGTCTCCAGCTGTTAAAGAGCTGTTTTAGGAGCAACTGAATGTCCTTACCTTTATAGTGTTCATCGGAAGACTGGGACAGGTGGCTGTAGGAGGTAACAGCTTCTGCTGACTTCACTGCAACCAAAGACGTTAGCTGAGCATACTCAAAATAGTGTTTCTCAACTGGAAACTACTAAACAAATTTAAACTGAGAACGTATGCCAGAACAGAACAAGATAGACTTTCTTTATGCCCCATACTATAGATCAAAGACAAGACAGTTTTCTGAATAATGGTAAAGAAAATTATACGAAGTTTCAAGTCCAGTGCACAACACTAATTGCTTTAAACGGCAGAAAGCTTAACATTTTAAAACTCTGTTATATCTGGATGAAATGGATATTTTTGAATGAGGTAAATAAATGTCAGAAGCTTATCCATATCCCTTGTATTGAAGAACTTGGATGCATTACTGAAGGAGATAGTTACCTGAATTCAGCTGCTGCTCAAGGGTTTACAGGGTCTAAGACATGAAATGTAGTCTAAAATTATCAATGGTCAATTTAAAAACTGTCCCCACAGTGAAAAGTGGCAGCAAAGGCAATTTTCTTCATTCTTTTCATAAAGTACTCTGAGAGTTATGTAGATTATTTAGATTTTATGTGCAGTTATGAGATCTCATTTACATCGTTATTTAGCCAGGAGTTTTCAGTGTAAATTCATTTCTAATATGTCAGATATTGTCTAAAACATTAGGACTGAGTTATTCCAGTCAATAAGAGGTTTCAGTTTTACTAAGTGGTAGAAAGATTGTTTGTAGGGAACAAGTTTTATGCATTTTAGACTTCAGGGTACAGAAAAATGTATATTGAGCTTGCAGAAGACTGTTAGACTTGATGAGCAAGTGTGTGACTGATGAACTTGTTTAATTCTGTAATGCATAGCTCAATTCTTTTCAGTGTGATAATGGTATTAAATGTCTATTTACAGAGAGAACGTAAAACTTGTGTTAAGTGGGCCTTCCTTAAAGACATAGGCAATGAATCTTCAACATTCACAGCATAGACTCAGTAAAGCTGTGTGTTAGTGTAGTTTATCTGTTTTTTAAAAAATATAATTAGGATGTCATGGTCGTTGGTAAATGTATTTATAGTTAGTTAAAACCTGACTAGTGTTAAAGGTTTCAGTTGTTACCAGTACAGCAGATACAGAAAACCTACTGAAGAGGGCACTGATCAGCCATTACATCAACTCATATGCGGAGTTTTTAGGAACAACAATTCTAAAGTCTTTTCAGGGAGTCATTTGTTTTAAGGATACCGTTTTGTAAAATCTCATTTAACTAAAAATAAGATAGATGGCTACTGGTATTGTGTGTCGCTTGAATTTTTCTTAGTCATTTAAAACTGGCTTGACTCCACTCTTCCAAATCCTCTGAATGGAAAATGTTGTAATAGAAACTTCTACTCATTCATTTTGCATATTTTTGAGGAGTGTGTGGGTCTTAATTTCAGCAGGCTAGGTGTTAAGTAGATATGCCCACGTGGATTCTCATCTCTCTCTCTCTTTGGCAATGAAGTTGTCAAAGTATTTTCTTGACAAGTTGCTTTCTTTAAATCTCATGGTTTTTTCAGTTTATATATAAAGAAAGTGAGCAAACATTTAGGTTTAGGAGTAAAATGTATGTTAAGATCCTAAGTGGCTGTATTCCCCCCCTTATATCTTATAACTTGTACAAGAGCCCTACTTGATTTCAAGTATTGTGACTGGGTTTTGTTTCTTTCATTTTCTACTCAGGCATTTCTGTTGCCAATATGTGAAGCAGCTGCCATGAGGAAAGTGGTAAAGGTGTATCAGGAATGGATTCAACAAGAAGACAAACCTTTATTTATGAAAGAACCTGAAGACATAATGCAGTGCACAACTGTAGATTGTGATGAAAACATTGACCATAATTCATCAGAGAAAGGAAAAGAAAGAGAAGAGGTAAAATATTTTTGGTTACTGTTTGTGCGGCTTTTTAATATGCCAGTAGACAGAGAAGTGGCTTCCTTGTTAGTTTATATGTGGTTTACTTTGATGTTAGAGCGTCTGTTGGGGAAAATCAATTGTCAAACACTATATGAATGAGCTACCAATTTTATCCACTGTCTAAAGTCTTTTAATGTGGTTCGTTCAATTTAAAACTTCATATCGTTTTATGAACTATTCTCAAGAGATGGATTATACAGTATGCCAATGTTCAGCTGTGTAAAAATTATATACAAATTAAAGGATGAGGAAAATAGTAGTTATTTCATTCAGATACTTCTAAGATAATTGCTACAAGTTTCATGAAATATTGTTGTATCTTTAAGGTGCATTTGTCTGCCATTGTTTATTATTTAATATCTGTTATATCCTTTTTCCTCTAATATAAAGCCAAATTACCTGTCTATAAATGTATGGGATTTTAAGAAAAAATATTTTTCAGGAAAAAGGGATGAACTCGAGTCATGTTAGAAATTCAAACTGGACAAGAAATGGCTGTTATGAAGACACTTTGCATAAAACATCTGAAATTGATATTGAAGAGCAGAATGTACAAGCTGGAGTGCAGTCAGTATTGCAGGTATGAAATAGACTTGATATCTAATTTTATCTAAATTATCTATCTAAAATTATCTAAAACTCTTGCTATCAGCACATAAAGAGTGGAATGTAATGCAATACTTCTGCCAGGGAATCCCATGCATCTCTGAAGCATCTCTAAATTTTAAAAATTATTTTATATGTAACAAGTATGATGATAAATCCCTTCATGGCTAGGCTTCACGAACGAAGATTTGGGAAGGGCTCTACCCACATTGGCTACAAGCGCACTGGTGACTAAAAAGGCCAATACAAGATAGACAAGTCCGGTTGCAAAAGGCACAGCAGAAGGACTCCTTAGGTAGTATTGGCAAGACACGATTCTTTCTGCGTTGTCTTTTCTCCTCAAGAGTGATCCTGCGTGCATTCTCAAAGGAAGCAGCAGCGTTATGGATAGTGTGTCTCCAGACCTCCCGATTGGAGGCCAGAGTAGACCAGTTATGTTGATCAATATGGCCAAGGCTGAGATGTTGCATCAGGGAGTCCTTATATCTTCTCTTTGGGGCTCCTCTCTTGCGGCAACCAGTGGCAAGTTCACCATAAAGCACGATCTTAGGGAGGCGGTGGTCCTCCATCCTTGAGACGTGTCCTGCCCAACGCAGCTGTGTTCTCAGCAACATGGCCTCAATACTCGTAACTGCTGCCTGTTCTAGAACAGACATATACAGTTAGAATAATGACAGTGGTTCACTAAACCTTTATTGATCTTAAGCAGGACAATGTGTAGACCAGTGTTGGGTACTGCAATAAAAAAAATCTTTTAATTATGTGTCAGAACATGCATTCAGCTCTGCATCATATCACAGAAAAAATAATCCTCATTTGAGTGTGACATCTTCAAATACCAGGCTTGCCAGGGCTAAGCAATGGGTTGGTGTGCCAAAACATGAGGAAAACGATCACTGATGGGACACCTCAATCTGCCTCATGAGGTGTTGGCTACAATGTACCACACCTGAAATGTTTCTACACCCATGCACTCAGCACGGGGGAAAAACAAGAGGAGCTCAAAGCTTTTGCTCATCCCTGAGATTTGACATCATTGGCATCAGTGAAACCTAGTGGGATAAGACATGTGACTGGAGTGCCCTGTTGGACGGTTACAGACTCTTCAGGAGAGATAGGGCAGAAGAGGCAGAGGGGTTGTATGTAGTGGATGGGTTAGAATGTATGGAGCTCACAGCTGGCAATGGCACAGTTGAGAGACTCTGGGTAAGAACCAAGGGACAAACAAATAATGTGGATGTCATCAAACCAGGAGCCCCCAGCTAGGACGATGATGCCGACAAATTATTCTTTAAGGAACTAAGGGACACTTCCAAGTCAACTGCTCTTGCCCTTCTGGGACTTCAAATTGCCAGAAATCAACTGGGAGCATCACACAGCGGGTACAACACGGGACAGGAGATTCCTAAAAATTCTGGATGACAACTTTATGGAACAGGTCCTGAACAAGTACTAAGGGAGCCGACTTGGAAAGGTGCTCTCCTTGATCTGCTGCTTGTCAACGGAGTGGATCTTGTAAATGAAGTGGAGATTGGTGGCCATCTTGATCACAGCGACCACGAAGTGATTGAGTTTAAAATCTCTGAGAGGAGGAAAAGTGCGAACAAAACCTCAGCTCTGGAAATGAGGAGAGCAGATTTCAGGCTACTCAGGGAATTAGTAAGTAAGGTTCCCTGGGAAATATTTTGGTGGGTGCTGGGGTCCATCAGCGTCAGTCACTCTTCAAACATCACCTAATGGCACAGGAGCAGGCAATTCCCAAATGTCGGAAGTCAAGAAGGGGAGGCAGAAGGCCGGCTTGGCTGAGCAGGGATCTTCTCTTGGAAATTAGGCAAAAAAAGAAGGTGTGTGCCCAGTGGAAGCAAGGTCAGGTGACACAGGAGGAATTCAGAGATGCTGCTTGCCACTGTAGGGAGAAAATTCATGTGGCCAAAGCTCAACTGGAGTTGAAGTTGGCCAGAAATGCAGGGAACAGTAAAAAGAGTGTTTTCAAATACATTAATGGCAATAGGCAGTACAGAAATATCATCAGCCTGTTACAGGATGAGTATGGTCACCTCACAAGCAGGGACAGAGAAGAGGCAGAGGTGTTTAACACTTCCTTTGCCTCTGTCTTCAACATGGATGACGGATCAAGGGTGTCTCAGTGCCCTGAGCTGGAGGACCATGACTGTGAGAATGAGCAACTCCCAGTCAACCCTGAAATTGTGTGGGATCTGCTGCTCCAGCTAGATTCCTACAAACCTATGGGACCTGATGGGATTCATCCAAGAATCCTCAAAGAGCTAGGTGATATCCTTGCAAAGCCTCTCTCAGTGATTTTTTTGAGTGGTCTTGGAAATCCGGAGATGTCCCAGCTAACTGGAAGCTGGCAAATGTTGTCACAGTTTTCAAGAAAAGCAAGAAGGAGGACCCTGGAAACTACAGCCTCACTTCAGTGCCAGGTAAAGTTAAGGAGAAGATTACTCTGGGAAGTATTGAAAAACTCCTGAAAGACAATGCAGTCACTGGTCACAGCCAGCACAGCTTCATGAGAGGAAAGTCCTGCTTATCAAACTTGGTTTCCTTTTATAACAAGGTAACCCACCTAGCTGATCAAGGGAAGCCAGTTGATGTAATCTTTTTGGATTTTGGTAAAGCTTTCAATACTCTCTCTCACAATATCCTTCTGGACAAAATGTCCAGCACACAGCTGGATAAACACATCATGTGGTGGGTGAGCAATTGGCTCATGGGTTGATCACAGAGTGTAATAGTGAATGGGGTAACATCAGACTGGGGACCTGTCACTAGTGGGGTTCCACAGGGCTCTATCTTGGGCCCTGTGCTCTTCAACATCTTCATAAATGACTTGGATGTAGGACTGGAAGGGATACTGAGCAAGTTTGCAGCTGACACAAAACTGGGAGGAGTTGCTGACTTCCTCGAAGGCAGGGAGGACCTGCAGAGAGACCTCAACAAATGAGTGGACTGTGCAATCCCCTCTGCACCTGGGATGGGGCAAGCCTGGATGTTCGTACGGGCTGGGGAATGAGATGCTGGAAAGCAGTGCCAGGAAAGGGACCTGGGGGTTCTGGTCAATGGCAAATTGTGTAGTACCCTGGCAACCAGGAGGGCCAACCATGTCCTGGGGGCCATCAGGTAAATCATCGCCAGCTAGTCGAGGGAGGGGATTGTCCTGCTCTGCTCTGCACTGGTGCGGCCTCAGCTTGAATATTGTGTGCAGTTTTGGGTGCCACAATATAAGAAAGACATTAAGCTCTTAGAGAGCATCCAAAGGAGGGCAATGAAGAGGGTGAAGGGCCTTGAGGGGAAGCCATATGAGGAGAGACTGAGGTCACTTGGTCTGTTCAACCTGGAAAAGAGGAGACTGAGGGGAGACCTCATTGCAGTCTACAACTTCCTCATGAGGGGAGGAGGAGGGCAGGCACTGAACTCTTCTCTGTGGTGACCAGTGGCAGGATCTGAGGGAATGGCCTGAAGTCGTGTCATGGGACGTTTAGGTCATATATGAAAAGAGATTCTTCACCCAGAGGGTGGTTGGGCACTGGAACAGGCTCCCCAGGAAAGTGGTCACAGCACCAAGCCTGAAGAGTTCAAGAAGCAAAGTCTGGACAATGCTCTTAGGCACATGGTGTGATTCTTGGAGATAGTCCTGTGCAGGGGCAGGAGTTGGACTCCATGATCCTTGTGAATCCCTTTCAGCTCAGCATTTTCTGTGATTCTGTGAAATATTTGTACTTAACTGTTTTGTGAGAATGCTTAGAGACTTTTTTCTTTTATTAGACACTATTACACTGTTAGTCACCACACACAAAACATCCAGTAATCGTATTGAGTAGTTTGTTGTACCATCTGTCTATGAGAACAAAAATATTAAAATACATTTTGTAGAAAAAAATGGGGAAAAGATCGGTCTTATCGTTGCTTAGTCATTACTTCAAACTAACATATTTAAATGTATACTTCTGTGTGCATATGCAGCCTTTTCTGGTAAAGATTTTCTCTTATAGATTTTTTTCTTCCTGGTTCTATCAACTGAATTGCTGAAAACATGAAAGTCCTTCAGGCTCATAACATCCACTCTTTTCTACTTACAGGTTTTTATAATAAATTCTTCAAATATATTCTTTCTTGAACCTGCAAATGAAATTAAAGTTCTGCTGGATGAACACACCGATATGTGTAAACGCATTCTTAATATCTACCGCCACATGGTAGTCCAAGTGACTATGGACAAGAAGACATGGTAAAATGCTAATGCTTTTATCTTAGATTATTAGTTCACAAGATAAATGTGAAAATTTACTTGGTAGTAAACACAGTAGAGTGGTATTTGCTATATGAACTAGTTTCTCTAAATCAGTAAATACATGAACATCACAGACGACTTAGAAAAGGGGACGAGGATGTTAGCTCTTTTGTTGAAGCCTGTAGTGAGCTCCTAGTTAATTTGAGGCAGCTTAGTCTCAGTGAAAAAAGGAGTAAGTGGGGATATATAGACTGCTATTAAGGAGCTACTGATGATTTTTTCCAGGGCATTTTGCTCATGGATCAAAGTGTTAAAATATGGAAACATATATGAAGCTTCACAACCTTATTTAAAAATAAACAAAAAAACCTCAGATAAGCTGGGATAACTGTTATAATCAGATGTGTGTTGTTCTTGACCTGTAATTGTGTACAAGAGTCTGTGTGCTGTGTAACTGTTTTATTCCTTTCCAGTGCTTAAGATGCCTAGCAGGTACAAAGGACTCTGCTTTCAGAGCAATTTCTTTTATTTCCCACTCGTTTAAATAGTTGCCTGTAATGAGGTAGGATATTGCCACCATTCTCCATTGCAAGGAAGCCACTAGCAAGGGGATTTCAAATGTCTGATTTACTCCATTTTCACTTGACTTGGCATTTAATCTGTCAGTAGTATTTCCTGAACTCTGGGTGAGTAGAGTTGGCACTACATGTCATATGAAGCTTGTCTCCTCTTCTGAGGAGTCAGTTCAAGGAAATTTAGGAGTGATAATAGAAAACATATTCTACTAGATTGTTATTTTGTTTCTCAGTTTTGCACCAATGTAAAGAAGTGACTCTAGACCGTGATGGCAAAGATTGTGCCACAGAAAATAATTGATGAAGTATGTTATTGATAATTTAAGATAACTAAAACCTGTAATTCATAGCGGAAAAAAACATAAAAGCTCAGGTTGAAAATGTAATTAAAACTTTGCTGGTAATTTCAGGCTTTGCAAGGTGATAGCAATTGAATGACTTGGCAGATGTTAGAATGCAACAGGGATTCCCCACTCTTCAGTGTGAAGAGAAGATTAGAGTAATTTCGTTTGCAAGAACCCAGTTAGGCTGTTTGTCATCATTATATATATTCCTGCTTGGAGTGTGTTTGAGCAAATCAAACTTGGTTATTACCTTTAAAAATATCATGCTATATACAGAAGTATAACAAAACGGTAACTCCAAGTTTAATGCTGTTTTGCAGGGAGCAGATGCTACTTGTGCTGCTTAGGGTTACTGAATCTGTGCTGAAAATACCACCCCAAACTTTCTTGCAGTATCAAGGAAGAAAAAACTCCACTTTAGCTGGAAGACTTGCAGGACCTCTTTTCCAGGCAAGTAAACATAAATTCACTTTAATTAATTCAGCCTTAATTTTCATTAAGAGATTAGATACAACAACCGCTGTTGGCTAGTTTGTCATCTTAAATCATTGATATGTTACCCAGATAATGTGAATGGCTTGGGTTAAAGATGTGGTTACATTCCTTACTCTCTGTCTTACATTTTAATGACACTATGACAACAGTTTTTGAGGTACTGTGAAATTAAAAAGTTGCTGTCATTTAGTTGAGTTGGAATAACTGATAAGGATGACTGGCAATATGTGCAGTTTTAGCCTGCTTCCATTGCAAAATTGGCTCAAGTCAGCACAAAATCTGTGCCATCCATGCCTAACCAATGGCTTTTTTTATTTCTTAGAGAATTCTGTAGTTCCTTACAGAAAGCTGTAGCAAATCCTTTCAACACTTGCAGAGTGCTATTGTGATGGGTCCTCTGTAAAAGGATCTATAGAGACTCTAGGTTCTTTAGTAGAAAAAGGAAGAATATACAAGATAATGAGTCAAACCATTTGTTCCTATATCTTGTTAGAGCCCTGTGTTCACATAACACTTGATAATTCATGAAAGTCTGTGTGTACTAGGGAAGAAAAGAATTTCAGGACTACACAGAAATTTCTGTGGCAGTTAGAATTTTCCTTTTAAGTAGTAACTATTGAATGTTGTCATGTTTTGTTCACAACCCAACTTTTCTCTATTCTTTTAGACTCTTATAGTGGCTTGGATCAAAGCAAATCTAAATGTGTACATTTCTCGAGAACTTTGGGATGACTTGCTGTCTGTTATGTCATCACTGACATATTGGGAAGAGCTGGCCACTGAGTGGTCACTGACAATGGAGACACTAACTAAAGTATTAGCTAGAAACTTGTATAGCTTGGACCTCAGTGACCTGCCATTGGATAAATTAAGTGAGCAGAAGCAGAAAAAACACAAAGGCAAAGGTAAGACAACACTCTATAGACATCATTTGAATTTGAGCTGGGGTAATGAGATGTTGGGCACAGGATAATTTTGGTCTCACCTTTATTGGTATACCTAATTAGGCCTCTCTATCACCTGAAATAACCCTGTTTCTTTGAGGTAAAGCTGCTTTTTAGAACTACCACAGAATCCTCACGTTAAGATTCATTTCTGCAGATAGGCACATATGGAATGTAATTCTTAAAGATGTGTTGAATTTAAACTAAAATGTTACACTGTACCTTTTATCAAAGCAGCTGAATAGTTGAGTCCTGATCATAACTTCTTGAAAATAACAATACTACTCATCTGGTGAATATTAAGCCATTGAAAGCACAATTGGAATATTGATCCTGAAATGTTGTTACAAGGGGAAATGTAAGGTGAACATAGTTTTGTTTGGTACTAATTGATTACTAGTCCATGGTGAAGACAGGTTTTATTAAAATGACCTTGTGGATTATTAAAGAGATAGTATACTTTTAATAATCAATATGAGCGGTACCTGTTTTCAAACTGATTCCTAAACATTGCAAAAAATATTCTGTGAGACATAATATGGGGAGAGGAGGTGGCTATTTGCTTATTATGGTACAGTTCTGGAATTGGTAAGGAACAGGAAGTCTGTCCTCCTCAAAAGGGGCTGGATTGAAAGTTGAAAAATCTGGATTCTTTTCTTAGTTCAGAGACTGACTTTCTGCATGGGTCCATTAGAAATCACTTCTTTGTTTCCACTTTTGTAAAACTTTTGTAATGATAATATTCTCCTTTAAAAAGTTCATTGTGATCTAATAGTGAGAGGCAGGGATTATATTTAGGGTGAGTAAAAAAGATGGAAAAACATGTAATTTTTAGTCTCCTTTTTATTTCTCTGTGTTCTCCAGTCAAACCTGAGGGAAGGTACAATATCTTAGGATTTGTCAGCGAGAAGTAATCTGTGTGGATTCCCTCTCTTAAAGAGGTTGTTCCTGTAGGCTGTTTCTGCTAAAAACATTTCACATGCTTCTATGCTTCTCATCTTGAGCAGAGTTGTTATTCACACTTCTGCTTTTCTAGTGTGTGGCAAGTGGATGAAAACACATTTCTCTGTAGTTGACCTTGAGAGACTGTTTCAGACCATGTGTTTTTTGTTTTCCTATACCGTACAGCTTTCTTCTTTTACTTGCAAAAGACACTGTTAAAAAAAAAAGTCTGATGTGGGATAAGGATATTTATAGTTATTTTAATATATGCTTTAAAAAGTATTTTGAATAATCTGTATCACCCATACCAAACCACAAGAGAAAAGTTTCTTAGCCTTTGGTAATAGAGTTCTAGAGAAAGCCTCCATTGCTAAATGTGAGTCGCAGAGCTAAGTGCAGCTTTGTAAGGAATAGATATCATACAAATTATGCTAAATTTCTTTGGCCCTGTTTGTTCGCTAATAATAATGAACATGTTGGACTAGGGCTCACTGTCCAAGAAGTTGTCCTTTAATGATTGTAATTGTGTCATTTTGGATAGATAAGGACATATGTTGCGATTGCTCTTCACTTCTGTTTTTTACATAGTATTGTTTTTGTTAGATCCTCATATGAGCTTTATTTACTTAATATAAATTTCAAATCTGAATTTTTTCCATCTTACTATAGTATTTTTTGTCAATTTCCAAAGAACCTTGTTCTCTGAGCTCATCATCCCATTTTTTTGCTTTTGCATTTTGTTTAAAAATATTTTATCATAATTATTTCGTGTTCCTCAATGTCACAAAATTATTTGGAAAAACCCCCACAATATTAATGTTTTGAAATGTATGATTTTGTGTGTATTGTCTAGTAGGAATAGCAAAGGAAAAGTTATATATTTTATCAGACTACAACTTTTGTAAACTCATTTTTTTGGAAAAGAAAATTACAGTAGTTTAGTAGAACCAACGCTTCTGAAGAAGTTTGAGTATCCCCCAGTGTTAGTGCTGGCTGAGCTTTTGAAATAATGCTTGCTTTGGTAACATAATTTATTCCATCCAGCTTTAAAACTCTTTGAAAGAACACAACTGCAATTATCTGGTGATACCAGAATAGAAGTGAATAGATTTGCAATTCTGTTTTTGCAGGAGTTGGGCACGAATTCCCGAAGTCTTCTGTCGATAAGTCCTTTTCTAGAGGCTGGAGCCGTGATCAGCCTGGACAAGCACCAATGAGACAACGCAGTGCTACAACCACTGGCTCTCCAGGAACAGAAAAAGCAAGAAGCATAGTACGGCAGAAAACAGTTGGTAAGTATCTGTAAAAGCTGATAGAAGTGACATTTGAGAAAGGGTAAGGAATTAATAACTGACTTCTGTAGCAGTGTGGATAGCTTCTCTCCACAAAGTTATACTATCTATAATAATTTACACATTAGTTAAATGTGTAAATTATGCAGCTTTATGTGCTTTGAGGGTAGCTGAATAACTTGTGGTTATTAGAATTACAGTTACTGCAAATGAAAATAATACATTTGATACATTAATTCTTAATGAGTTTGATCACATGCCTAAGCTGGCCTGGAAAATAATACCGTTGTGTGTGTATGAAGGAGAAAAAAGCTGGAATGGTTTGAGCAATGGTGCAGATAGGTGGGTCAGAGAAGGTTTCTTAAGTGTGTTTTCATAAACTACACAAGATGGGTTGAGTTTTTTCAAACTGTTCAAAGGAAAGCATGAAAAATATGTCGGCATAGTTTATAAGATATGCTGTCTTTTACTATACTCTGAATATTGCAATAATGAAAGGTTGACATGGATGTGTGCAATTCTTCATTTCTGAAATCAACTATTTCTCAGTTTTATTACTTGCAGATACTCTTTACTGTGTTAGAAATGAGTGATGCTGAGCAATGCTTTAGGTGAACTCCTCAAAAGAAGACTCATTTATGTTCATATGATTTGCTTAGACTATGTTAACATGAACTGGACTATGAATTTCTTTACACTGTTGTCTCATCTTGATGATCTTAGTGCTATTCCTTACGTGAAGGAAAATTAAGCTGATTTTAATTTTTTATTTAAAATAAGAACCTTTAAGGAATATCTCTTTTTTTACTATCTCTGTAAAGTAGTGGCTTCGGTCATTGTGTGTTGTTGCTTCAATGATACTTCTTGGAAGTAGGTACGTTCTGACACAGTTTTAGAAACTTGGGATGCATATTGGCCATTGAATATATAATTGTGCTACCTTTTCAGAAATGAACATTTTCTTTCTTTTTCCAAAAATATTTGCAATTAATTTTTTTAAGTCACAGAGGTTATTTAGACAAAGTTTTTATTTGAATATTCTTCAAAATTCTTAATTTTAAAAATTTGTTCTCTCCTAAGGCTCTTGTTGATTTGAGAGAATTAATTGTCCTGTAAGCCATACAGAAATGAGAGAAAATGAAGTCATTACTCCAAAGTTTCCTGTCTTTTTTGCACATTCAAATGCTATACAGCTTTTCCTGTATCTCATGCTGACAGCACCTAGCTTTCCTCATGGATCGCAGATACTTTAAATGCAATTTCTGCTTCTATGTAGATTGTCTGCGATTAACAGTTGTGGTGGTTTTGTTTTAAGTCTTAATTTCTTAACAAGGTAAAGATCATGTTAAAATTTCTTTCACAAATAGTTAATATTTCAGATATTCTGTCAGAAGGTTATGTTGTTTGGTCAACTTATTAATGATTTTGTTTTTCTGCTATTTGAAGTATGGCTATTTATATGATGTTAGCCTTAAAATAACTGGAACTTGTCCTTAATAAGCTATATATTGACCTGGTTAGCAGCAAACTAATCTGATTTTAGTTTCACTGGACATTAGCTTCCATGGTTTTGTTCCTTTCCTCCAATTGTCTTACGTATCTGATACTCATCAGCCAAGTTTGTATTACTACAATCAGTTAAAATTTCAGCTCTATTCATGTTGTAGAATACCATCTGTGGACAAGCATCCCAGAATTGCTAGGATGATTTTAAAAGATGTAAAGCCCACAAAGAACTTCCAGAACCAGAATCCCAACTCTTCTGGTTTTTAAATGTTAATGAGGGAAATGTTGCAAAATGTTACATCTGTCTTAAATGCCTGCAAACTGTAGTTTGTTATTGCCTCTCAGATCTGCCAAGAGAGCTGTTCGGATGCTTCTTAATCTGTGCCGGTTAATACAGAGTCACATAATAAAAAATAGTCACAAAAAGTAAAATCTTCTATAGAGCATTTTGCTGGTCAGATCTTCTTCAGTTTAGCACTAGCTCCACAAGCTAAGGCTGTAATTGAGTCAGACCTTAAATATGTTGCATGATATCTGATATGTATTACATTCCCTTTGATTATGAGTAATATATACTCTTTATATCTGAGTAGGGGGGATGTGCATGTTGAATATTTTATGGTAAGAAAAAGCTGGGGTTTCTTTTTCATCTGTTTTATGTTGTACACATTTCTGTGTACATCTGTGCACCTCTATTTTTTGAGCCATCATCATGCCGGCACACATTTATTGCTGCACCAAATATGTGTGTGTGCGTGTTACTCAAATAAAAATCACAGCTTTTCTGATATGCAGTGTGTACATTTTTAGCCTAAACTTATGTAAAGTAATTTTTGGAAAAGGGCCTTTAAACATAGTATGCATATGGGTTGAAAAATCTTCTATAAGGCTAGATTTTTCATTTAGGCAGCAGGCTCTAATCCTATAAAATATTGTATCAGAAAGAATTTACTATCTTATTGTTCTGCCTTTGTTTATAGGCAACAGTGGAAGGTTATAAATTGTCAAATATATAGTCCACATTCTGATATTAAGTCTGTCTCTGCTTAACTACTTATTTGGATGTAATATGGTGGAAAACATCCAGTCAAATTAAGAGGAACACTTTATGTTAAGATTTGTAATCAACACAGTATCCAATATCCAATAGTTTGATTTATTTAGAATCGTTTAGGTTGGAAAAGACCCTTAATATTTACTATGTAGCTTATTATTTTTTCTCTTGTGTACATTCATTTTAAGATTCACAGAGATAAATGTAATGCATCTAACTATCACTGTATCCTGAATTTTATTACTGTACCTCTTAAACAAAGAGGTACTTAAGCTTTACACATAATTGCCTTTTAAGAAAATGGTTTCTGTCTTACAAACTAAGTTAAATAGTATGGCTTCAGTTTTAAAAAGTCTTATCTTTCTGAATTGTTTTTTCAAACTGATGTTAAGACACCACTTAAATTGTACTCCATTTGTCAAATGTATTTTCTACTCTATGTGACCTACCCAGGTTATCTACATGTTAATGTTAGTAGCAATTCTTTAACCTGGTTTAGAAGTATGATGTGCTCAACTGTCACTACACTCCATTCATGTACTTTTGATTTCCATGCAGATTAGGTGCACTAAGATTCTAAGTCTTTCTTCCGTGTTGTTTTGAAAATATATATAATGGCCAGTCTTCGTGAACGAAGATTTGGGGAAAGGTCTTTTACCTTTCCAGCCTGCGCAATGGATTTTTTAGGTGAGACGCAGCATGCGCTGAACTGAGCCCACCCTTTAATCCTAAGGTTCATCTGCCGGGGCCAAGCAAGCTTGGACAATGGCAGCGAGGTCCTCAGGACGTAGGTTTGTTTAGAGTGACCTTCTCATAGATGGATGGCCTCACAGGGCTAACGGGCTCCATCTGCCCGGGGGGACTGGGATTCGAACCTGGGTCGCAGCGGTGAGAGTCCTGTATGCTAACCACTAGGCCACCAGGGGTCCCTGAAAATATATATAGAGAGAGAGAAAAGTTCAAATATTGCACTGACAGTATTTATGTAAGATGCACTGAAGTTTATCAGTAATAATTTTAACAGAAGCTAGCCGATTTGCAACAGTTTGAAAAGGAAGCTGCTTGAAACAATAAATGTTACTTTTTGAAGAACTTCCAGTGTACTTTGAGGATGAATGCAGTATCAGTTCTCGTTCTGACAGAGGAAAACAAATGTCGTGAAGATTTATTTTAAATCTATTAGAAAAGCTATAGATATAACCTTGATTGTGATACCGCAATTCTTATGTAAGTTTTCTATTCCGTAGGAATGGTGGCAGGATGTGAGATATGAGAAGGTGATTTAACGTCAGTTTAGCAAGATTTATCCTGTATCAATTAAAAGCCAAACCCTATGGATAAGAACCAACTTAATGCTTTTTGTTGTCAAACCACTTCAGTCATTTCACTTTTACTGTGGAACTATAACAACTTTTATTGCAAATTTCTCCACACAGAACTGATAATTTGCTCCCTATGCTTTTGAATCTCTTTTGGAGAACATGAATTCAAGAGTACAGGTGTATGTAAAATACAGAGAGGCATTTTGAGGAGAAAATTAAAGGAAACTAGAAAAATGCAAATGTAGTGTAAGTTACTTTTTCTGTTAAAAAAAAAAAAATTCAAGTTCTGAGTACTTGTGAAGCAACTTTAACTTTGATTTTTCAACCCCTGATGCAGTGGGAAAAAGTGTTAATTAGTTTCTTGATTTGGAATGCAAAATCTCTGTAATTGTCATAATAAAGGCATTGTTGCTGCTTTACATAAAAGTTGAAAACTCTGAATGTCTTATGTGTCCACTGATTTTTTTCTTTCTTACAGCTCTGCCAATATCTGCCGTGCTGAAATGTTTTAATTTTTGAATTTTCTTCTTTTTTATCTTTGTTTTCTCTGTTGCTGCTTTTTCTGTGACACAAGCCTTTCATTATAGTCACTCTTCTTTTTTCCTTCCCCACTTCTTTCTTTTCCTTTTTAAAGCCATGAGAAGCCGATCCATTGGTGAATGTGCTCTGCCATCGGCCTATATACGCAGTGCTAAAAGTGCTCCTGTTCTGATCCATACTTCCAAACCCTTCTTGCCTGATATTGTTCTCACTCCCCTTTCTGATGAGCTTTCAGGTAGTGCCACCTCTGCTAATTTCTGCACCCCCTTTATCACTTTTTTAAACCTTCTGCTTTCAAATTCTGCTAAATCATTAAATTTTTTCAAAGTAAAAATACTCTGGGGATGGTGGGAGAGGGGAAGAGATTAAGAATTAATATTTTGAGTTACGTAAGATACCATGCTATTTTACAATTCATTCTGGAACTGTTAGAAGTTAGTGCTGTGCCAATGTTTACTATCATAATAGTGAAAATTAGAGAAATATCTTCGCTTTTTCAGTTTATTGTTAAGTAGCAATATAACATCTGTCTACTAGAGAGTACAACTAATCTAAAATTTTTATTTGTGATGAATGAGGGAGGGAAAGGAAGAACTTAATTTTACTTTGATTTGCCATTTACCTCTTTCTATGTAAATTTTTTAATTCATTGTTACAGATGTTGTGTGAACAACCATGATGATACACTTTAGCTCCCATGAAAAAAGAATGAAGTATATGGTATCATATAATATGCTTTAGAGTATGACTATTTTTCATTAACATATAAAAACATATAAAAATGTGTGGTTTGGAATTCTCAAGTGCTATATTTTGATGTTATTTTCTGAATTATCCATTTTTTAGAATTGTGCTTTTCCTCAACATTCTGTTTGGTCCAGCAAGGTAGTTGACTACAAGTCTGACAGTAGCTTATCTTGGATAATTTTCTCTGAACAAATAGATTCAGGAATTAGAATTAGCACAGATTTTAAAAAATGCATGTTTAGAGATAATGTTATTTTTCCATCTATTACGTAAATATGAATTACTAGCGTGTTAAGGCTGACACTCATGTTATGCCTTTGTCCCAATGCATGAAAAAAAAAGCAAACCACCAAACTGAAAGCATAGTGGAAGGACTCTATATATATATATCTAAAACTACATACAAATATAAGGACTTAATGGCAGTAATGGTTTTATGGACACTTTTTTTCTTTTCTGTCTCTCCTATCTGCCTTTGTTACTCAAGAACTTCCAAGAACTGGATCTTCATAATTGTATTTTGTCTTGTGTCACAAAATTCTTGTAGTGAAACAGAAATTTGGTGCCTTAGTGTTCAGTCTGAAAACATAAATGGAGAATCAGGAAAGTTCAAGGTACCCACTCTAGAGAGACCAGACTTTCACAATGTACAATTACAGAGTAAGTTTAATAAAATACAAATTATATGTAATAAATTAATAAACATATGAGTGCAAAGGGTATCTTTTCTGAGATATAAATTATTAGAACTTAGAAGATAGGGATTTTTATAGGAATGATACTTGAACAACCTGTTAGGAAATACATCTTACCTGGCCATGGCATTGTTGGAAATAGTCAATTCTTAATGAAGATCTTAAGAGCACCTGCAGAGGGGAGTGACCTATTATTTTGTCACATAATCAGATACTTAAATTATCCTGTCCTAAAGAGGGCAAAAGTGCTGTTGTAGACAGTTTCGTCATCTATGTTTCTGAAAAGTCCTGGCTTGCATCTTATTTCTAATGTATCCCAAACCTTATGGCTCTCTTGCTATTATCCTTTCTGTTGATACTCAGGCAATACAAAAACTGCATGACCAATGTAATTCTTAAAAGTAAAGCGATGTTACAGACGTTTGCACTTTGAACATAGGTCCTATGCCCTTCCTGGTTTTTGTGTCTTCTCAAAAGCAGCCTGGGTGTTGCAGCAGCTTCATGATGTGCTCAAGAATCTTGAACATTGCCAGAAAACTAAAAAGCTCTAGTGAAGAAAAGCAAGCCATTAGAGTGTTGATGGTGAAGTAGCAGAGTAAAGGATACACTGTCCACTGGATCAGAGTGCACTTTGCTCTTTTAATTTTCTGCATTTTTAATTGCGCTCTCTATCTTTTCTTTTTTTTTTTTTTACATGAAGCTTTATCATTTTCCTTGCCTTTTCTTAAAGTAAATGTTATTTTCTGAGAGCTTTCTGTTTCCAGAGGTACAGTATGTAATTTGGGAAGTAATCAAATTGCTTCTACCATAAGTGTGTTCTAGGTAGTGAACAATATGTAGCTAGCTCTGACAGCCCTTCGTCTTATTTCATAATTGTATAAATATCCCTGTTATCCAAAATGACTTTACGATACAACACAGCTCGAAGGAGAGAACATTTCAACTTATTCCAAAATAATAGAATGCCTAATATTAAGTTTCTGGAAGTAGTGTTCAGCTCCTTTTTAACTGTGAAACTCCTTAGTGAAAGGACTCACTGAACACTGGTAAATCTGGACAGGTAGTCCAACAAAAAGCATTTATACCCAAACCTTTACTTTTTGTGCAGTATATTAATTTTCAAGAGTATGGCAGAACACCTCACTTGACTATAATTTGTTATTTATTGAGACATAGTATTTCTTCTTGAAGATCAGTCAGTAGATTGACAAAATATTTTGCAAAAGCTCAATATTGACATTCAGTCATCTAGCATCATAGAGAATGCTTCTTCTGAGATTGTATTTCTTTTGTGTAGTTTATAAGTTATGCTGTATTTTCATGTGCAGAATATTTGCAACTTTTCAAATAATACCCAGAAAGTGGAAGCAATTTATGCTTTAAGGTGTTTAGTTATTAAAGTGATTTTAGTATAGTGTATTTGTTGCAAATATTTCTAAAACGAACTTTTCCTTTAGCCTGTTAGAATCATAACAAATCCAGTCTTACACTTTGACAAGATAACTATTAAAGTAACCATTCATTCTGGGACTGTTGAGGATTTTTATGTACAAGACCACTTATGAAACAAAGTATTAATGAGATGTAGGCAAGATTCCTAGAAGCAATGGGCAAACTAATGAATTGCAGATTGATTTTTCCTTATCCACCAGGACTAAAAGAGTCAAATGTAGTGTTAACGTGAAAAGGAGATGCATATTGGGCCTTTACAACCTTGCTCCCAAAGCAGTAAGTAATCATTAAACTGAAATATAAAGAAATCATAATTGTAATGTCAGTATGGCTGTAATTATTCTTTAATCCCAGAAACTCACAGAATGAGTGTGTTCTTATAAAAAAAAATCAAAATGAAAGGTGAGAAGCAAAACATGTTATTTTTTCTCTACTTCCTGAACTAACTTTCATGATGAAATATAAACCTCTCCCAGCGTTATATGGAAATCTTCTATTAGCGCTCATGCTGTCTTGTCAGAATGTGTCTCTCCATGAGTTTGTGTTTTAGCTTATCCATCTCCCACTTGATGCTGAAAAGCTACCTTCTCTTTCTGCCTTCTAGCAGAAAAGGAGAGGTAAGGTTGATTTAAGCAAAGTTATGATTGGTGAGATTGGCCAGGTCTACCAATTTCAATCTCTTCCTTATTGTAACATATAAGGACCCAGAGCAGCGTTTCTCCTAAGCGCACACAGGGTGTCAGGTACACAGCCTTCTGGCACACAATTGCAATGTACAAACTCCTTGGGAGTTTATGGTGTCCCAATTTGACTGCATAGTTGTATGCAATAGCGAGCCCTGGTTGTGAAGGAGCAGTTTGTTTGGGTTTTTAAATATTGTCTGTGTTTTCAGTGATGGTCTTGTAATAACAGTACATTTTTCATTTCCTTTGTTTCTTCCTCAGTTCTACAAAAAAGAAATCTCTATTGGCACAGCCACATGTTTATTTGAAAACATGTACTTGTATGTGCTAGTCATGTATATGTGAGCACCTAAAATTAATTCTGGATCAACATTGAAATAAATCTAGCTGAATTTATTTCAGTGTGTGGAGTTGCTTTGTGTGCATTATGACTTCTCTGTCCAGTTATTTCTAACATCCTAGAAAGTCATGATCACTCCATGCAAGCAAGCATGTGATTCCTAGGCTGCTGCTTTAGATAAGATTGAGTTTATAATAGATATGAAGTATGCATTCTGAGGGCTCAAGATGAGATCGGTGTATCATAGTTGCATATATTAATTCCATATATATAATATCATACATATTTTTGACTGAAGCCTGTAGTCCTTTCTTTGCAACTGTAAGAAATAGCTTGAGACTATGGGAGCATAACCTGAGTTAATCTCTGCCTAAGTCAAGAGAGAGTTTGAAATAACATTCCAACTAGAGAGAGAAACCATTTTTTTCAGAGGGTGTTCATTCATGTAGTTAGTAATAAGTTGAACAAGAACAATGATGAGAAATTTGTTGCTTATCAAAACTGAAGAGAAAAAGGACAATAGATTCTGTTATATTTGACAATTTTTCAGTTTATGTTAATTTTCTGAGATAGTTTGGATGTCTCTTCTCTTTTTTCCAATATAGATCTCTCAATTTCCTGTCTGATAGCTTCTTTACAATTCTGTAAATTTTGTATGAGGACAAACTTTAATTTTCAAATTTTAACTTCTCTGAAAAGTTGAGCATGGAAATACCACTTTTCATCTTCTTGGAACATGTATGTTTAGTTAAGTACAGATATACCTCATTCCTCTGGTTTATATGCTTTGCTCAGAAGCAAAATATCAGAAAAATCAGCTCCAGTTCTAATTCTCAGAAAAGTGTGTGCACTTCAAAACAGGTTTTTAAGGGGACTTCAGATTATCAATATTTAATATTACTGAAATATATAGATCCACAAAGTAATAATTAGAAATATTTTGTAATATTTATAGATTCTATTTAGTAATAATAGAAATATTTTAAAATATAATTATAAAATAGTTACTTTATTTTGGCTGTAACACATCAAAGTTAGGGGAGAGAAAGGGGCTTAGATTTTGTTCTGATATTAAGTAAATTCACCATTGCAGTCCTGAGGTTAAACCCTCTAGATAGAACAACAAGGTAAGTCTGTTTATTGTGGCAAATAACTCTTGCTGGTGTTCATTTAAGCTCTTTACTGTTGTTCCTGACTTTGAAAGTGTATCTACAACTTTTTAAGTAGCAGGTAGTAAAAAATTAATCTGGGGAATAAAGGATTCTATCAAAAAGAAACCAACAGAAAATTGAGTAAACTGTTTTTACCTTGCTGTTCAAATGCTTATCCCATAAAAAGACTGCAAGGAATAGCATGAAGTCTTGCAGTTAGTTGAATTGTCTGTACGCGATATTTAACCTTTCCTGCACTGGTCATCATCATCATCATCATGGCTAGGCTTTGCGAACAAATATTTGGGAAGGGCTCTACCCACGTTTGTTACAAGCGCGTTGGTGGCTAAAAAGGCCAATACAAGATAGACAACTCCAGTTGCAAAGGCACAGCAGAAAGACTCCTTAGGTGGTATATTCTGCAAGGCACAATTCTTTCTGCGTTGTCTTTTCTCCTCAAGAGTGATCCTGCGTGCTTTCTCAAAAGCATCAGCGGCGTTAAACATAGTGTGTCTCCAGACCTCCCGATTGGAGGCCAGAGTAGACCAGTTATGTTGATCAATATGGCCAAGGCTGAGATGATGTTTCAGGGAGTCCTTATATCTTCTCTTTGGGGCTCCTCTCTTGCGGCAGCCAGTGGCAAGTTCACCATAAAGCACGATCTTAGGGAGGCGGTGGTCCTGCATCCTTGAGACGTGTCCTGCCCAACACAACTGTGTTCTCAGCAACATGGCCTCAATACTTGTGATTGCTGCACGTTCTAGAATAGACGTATTAGTCACATAATCTGACCAGTGGATGTTTAGGATTGTACAGAGACAGCGTTGATGGAAGTGTTCTAGGAGTCGCAGGTGGTGGCGGTAGATGACCCATGATTCAGATCCATATAAGAGAGTAGACAGCACTATGGCTCTGTAAACACTGATCTTTGTACTTTTCTTCAAGTGTTTATTTCACCAAACTCTTTTATGAAGTTTTCCAAAAGCACTATATGCCTTTGCTAACCTGTTGTCTGTCTCTCCGTCAATATTACCATCCGAGGATATGATGCTACCTAGGTAATTAAACGGCTGGACTGATTTGAGCTCTGATTCGCCAATGGTGATATGGGGATGATGGAAGACTTCCTGAGGTGCCGGTTGATAGAGCACTTCTGTCTTCTTTAAGCTGACTTCCAGCCCAAAGAGCTCAGCAGTGTCTGCAGTTAAACGCTGCAGAGCTGCTTCTGTGTCGGTGACAAGGGCAGCATCATCAGCATAAAGCAGCTTCCCGGACAAGATGGTTTAAGGTCTTAGTATGGACCTTCGGTCGCCTTAGGTTGAATCCTACACTGGTGATTTGATGGTATATAGTATTCCTATAACATATCAGGAAATCTGAAGAGGTGTTGTGAAGGTTCTTTATTTTTGTGGATGGTGTAAAGTGACCTGAAGATACTTCTGTACAATTCCTAGGTGATCCATGTTTGATTTGTGGCTTTCATTACAGTTAACTATGATTTGTACCCATACTAACATATTAGTAAATGTCTCAACAGAGACAAGGAATCACTAATTTAAGTGATCATAACATGTTCTGGTCTTTTCATAAACAAAAATGGGTTTACTCTAATGTTAACTGTTGTGAGGCTGCAGGATGTTTTTCTGTGTCAGAGTCCTTAATTCTGTAATTCTCATGTACGTTACATTTGCTGAGTCAAACTGGAAGAAGAGGGGGAGGTAAGCCTTCATTAAGTATTTAGTTTCACATTTTGAAGATGAGAGACAAAACATCGTTTCAGGGAAACGGAGTATATCTTTAAATTGTCCATTATGTATAGTCATCTCTTCTGTATAGTCAGCTCTTCCTTGTAATTTAAAATTTTTAGTCTTAGGGATACACTAAATTATATATCCTGTAATATTTCTAAGTGTATTATAGTATTCTTTCTGAAATTTCAGTATTTTATGTATATTCATACAAGTAATTAAAAGGAATAGTTTGCCACTTCAGTAGACAATCCTAATTTTCCAAAAAACTTGCTTGTTTGGAGTTGCCCATTTTTCTGAAGATGTAAATTCTACAAAGGGAGTACTACTGTTAAGCTAATTTGTATTCTGGTAACCATTTCCTCAGCAAGCCAGCTGGAATAAGATTGGTTGAATTATTGAACTTATTGGCACAGCTCTAGCTTTAACTGTATTTCCAAACGTTCCATGATCTCACTGTTTGTTTTCATGCATGTTAACATTTAAAACTGTGTTCTGATGGTCTAACTCATTTATATTACATTCTTTACTGGATATTATGTGCGTATGCTTTTAACACTCTAGTATTGGAAAAAGTATTTTTGTTGTATCTAAGAAAACAAGGCTCTGGACTTTACTGGCTTTTAAAGTCATGTAATTATGATGTAGTGGTAAATATATATTGTCTCTCTATGTAAATTTTTGTGCATGTTACATATACTTTTTCTACAGACATTGATGATGCTCAAATTCTTCCACGTCCACCTCGAGTCAGACATTTTTCACAGAGTGAGGATGCTCCAAGTGAAGTTTTTGGTGCATTAAATGAGGAACAGCCACTGCCACGAAGCAGCAGCACCTCTGACATCCTGGAACCTTTCGCAGTTGAACGAGCCAAAGGTGCAGTTCCTGTCATTGACAGTTCATCCCATCATGCTCCAAGCTTACAGAGTTCCACTGAGACCTCTTCAATGCATAGATCCACTGAAAGCCATATTACTGATACAAATAGCAGAGAGTCCTCCTTGGAAGTTGGGGATAGTATTTATGACCATCTTTGTCATTTAATAGGGCCGGTAGAATTTGCAAACACTGCCTTTGAACAAAGCCAATATGTTGACCTTGAAGGTGAAGATGATCTCCTTTCCTCTCTGAGAGAATATCTTAAAGAAAAAGAAGAACTTTGCGGTAACTTTGAGATAGATAAATGTAAGGCTTCTGCTCATGACGTTGATACATCAGTAAATAGGAACGATAGATTACCACTCGACGGATTAGAAAATAGAGATCAGACTGGGCAATGCACAAATAGCGTCACTGTTACAGAAAGAGACGATAACACAGAGCTGCACCTAGAACAAAACCCAAGTGGCTTTATAAGTAATATTGCACCTAGTCAGGTAGACTTCTTTACAGGAAATCAAGTGCTCAATAAAGCCAGACAGTTAGATATAAATAAACAGTATGAAAGCATATTTGATCATGGGTCAAGTAGTCCTAGCAGCAAAGAAGGGAAGAGATACCTGTACAGGCAAGCAGCCACTGAAGCTGATGTAGATTTAGTTGTGGAAGCAGTAGTAGGTGAAAAGCATAGAAGTGCCCAGTTTAATGAAAAGCTGACCAACTCGCGTGTTGTCCACGCAAAGAAAATTCTTCCTAAAGCACAAATTGACCCTCAAATGCCTTACGTCACAGGCACGAGCAAACTGGCACCAACTAAAAGAAGTATATCTGAAACTGTAACTCATAGGGCCAAAATCATGAAAATAACGACTAAAAAAAGAAATAGTGTTCATGTTACTTTTAGACCATCTACAGAATCGGTTCAATTTTACAATCCTCTTGAGAGCAAAGAGGCTGCTTGGAGAGCAAGACTTCGTAAACTTGGTGGCTTCAGTAGTAGCAGTAGTGGTAGCAGCAACAGCAGTACCAGTACAAGCACCAGCTCATCAACTGCCACAGAGCTGATTAGACCTGGAATATATAGACATCTAGATGCAATTAATGCTGCTTCAGCTGGCAGCAAGCAAATTAAGGAACCTACAGAAACTCAAGCAGCTGTGTTGCAGAAAGAAGGTATTGCAGTTAGTCAGTTCCATAATCGTAGTGCCTTTAGGGCACCAGGTCAGGAGTCGGCACAACAGCAGGGCTCCCTGGGTGGTGTTTATAAAACTGTTGTACATGCTCTTTCGAAGCCGAAGGCAAATGTTTCCCCACAGAGGCAGAACAGAATGCCAGCAGAGGCTCCACTGAGGGATCTGTACAGTCATGTAATGGGCTATTTTGGAAGGAAAGCTGCAGGTGAGCACTAAAAGTGTGCAGAGCGCAAAAGGAGAAAGGCAACACCAGTTTGGCTTAATGCAACTGAAGCAAGCTCTGATAAGCAATCAAAAGGCTTTGGGATGATCACTGCTTTCCCTGTTTGGTTATGCATGCGCCTACAGCCAGCTGATTTTTCTCCCAGCAAAAGTTACATTTACATACTTTAAATTACTAATTTTTCTTTTCAAGATATTTTGTTGAACCTCTTTGCTGCTGAAGACCATCAGGTTAGGGAAGAGGAAGAGACAGTAAATGACCTAATAAAGGACTAAGTCTTGAGACTTCTGAATTTTCATCTACCGTGCAGAGCCTTAAAATTCAGCCTACTGTATGATTGGCATATGCATATTTTATCAGAATATGCTATTCCATGCTGAGTGTAGTTTGCTTATCAGAAGGACCTGGCTCTTGACCAGCTAGGTTGAAATTATTGTATTTCTGGTTCATTTAGTGTGTTTTCTTCTTCCTCCCCATCCTCTTCCTCCTTTTCCTCCTCCAAAACAAAAAAAAATCCCTCAAATTTACATTTGGAGGTCAGGTTAGATAATTTTTAAAAAATAGTGTGAAACAGCAGTCTGCTACTAGTGGAATGATTTCATTACAACAGTTCTCTGAGTCTAATCATAGGGTTTTGTTTGAGTCTTTTTCAAAACATGACATAGGCCTTCCTATATTCATTCATCAAAATGGCTGCAGTTACGTCTTGGCAACATCTTTCATTGCTTTCTTTTTCTCTTGGAATCATGGATGTTCATGAAGGTCTCATGATAGTCTTTCTCCTGCTAACTGTGAGACCTCTGTGAACTGATCAAAAACCGCTCTAATATCTGTTGTCTTAGTTCACATAACCTTAAATGAACAATAAATTAACTTTCAGCAGTAATGCAGGTTTTCTTTTATTCCCATTGTTATGCTGGCATGATTAACAGAGGATTCTGCAATGCATCCTGCATTGAGATGTTAATGCCACCTGAGGGCAGTCTGTAAGCACAGCACCCGAGCGCATTACTGTCATGGGTCTCAAAAAGGATTTGCTGCTCTGCAGAATCTGTACTTCTGAAAAAGAGATATCTAAGAAACACCAATTTTAGAAGTACCTGTTATTTGAAATTTGCAACATTTAACAGAGCCTCGTTGTTAGAATAAACTACACCATGGTCTCAAGAGAGATGACGCTGAGGGAAAAATTATTATAAAAAGAACATGAACTGGAATAACTTGAAGACTTTAAAGGTGAATATCGTGAAGTCAGGTGTAACAGCCACAGTTAAATATGAACAGTATAGTTATATAAAAAATGTAACGCTGATAAATGACTGAACTTAATTAGTTGTTCATAACCATTGATCATCCAGTTAGAATTTTCATTCCACGTACTAGCATGTAATTTTATTACATAATGTTTTCTTTGCACTATTTATACTAACTGTATACGGTGCCACATTGCCATTTTTCATTAGTATATATTACAACCTAGTTTACTTTTTCCATTACGTTGCTTTTCATTAAGAATGCAATGAAGAAGAAGCCTGTAGGAATCATATAAATTTTTTAGGATTTGTTACTTGTGATACGGAGGAAGAACATACGCTTTATCCTTAAAGCAAGCATTAACAACTTTGAGTAGTGCTTACCTATAAGCTTCCTGCTCTTGAAGGTGGAACTGGAAATCAACTAACCCCTGCTTAGTGGGAAGAAGAAGCCGTACTAATTCTGAAAGTAGAGTCTGCTTTAAAAGAGGGACATTCTTAAAATGCATGTTCAGCAATTTTGATTTTTTTTATTTCTGTTAATTAGCAGGTTTTTTCATTTGTTGCATTTTGTTTTGAAAATGCCTTGATGTGTTCTTTACTATAAATGGTTATTCATTTGCTTTTAGCTAATAGAGAGGACATGAGTCAAAAGCTGCACCCTATTGATAGTGATATTGGCAGTAGCAATACAAATGTTCCTGACCTCATGGATGAATTTATAGCTGAGAGACTCCGCAGTGGTAGTGCACTGGTAAGGCTTTAAACTTGCTACATTTCAATACTTATGTCTGCATATATGTGTGAACTTGCCAATGACATTATAAATCAGTTCACTAAAATGTATTTCTCTGGCTTTTATGAATCAGCATTAAGAACTGCTTAATTATTCCTTGTCTTTGAGATAGATTCATGCCATTTTTTACCGTTTGTGTTTTCATATCTGTTAAATCTTCATTGTGGAAGCAATGCAGAAGTTACTGTCAGGTGAATAGTCTCATTGAATTGAACCTGTAAAGATCTCTGTACATGGACACTTTCAGAATAATAGTTTCTATGTAAATTTGCAGTCCTCAGGGTGGTATGTAGTTAAGTATCAGGCGGTAGTACAGTACTGTTCTCTACAAGTATAGTCAGTGCATCAGACTAAAAAACTGCTCCAATATATGTTTTTTGTTAATTTTTTTTTAATTGCACTTCCAAGTGTTGAATAATATCTTGTAAGTAGTATGTTGGTAGTCGAACCAACTTTTCATATGCTTTCTTCCTGCATTTTTCCAGAAGTGTCACGTTGTTTGGAATGGCATTCATAATGAGAAATTTTAATCAATTTTAAGTCAAGAATTTCTGGTTACTGTTGAATGCTTGCAGAATGAGACAACTCGGTTGAAGAGATAAGTGCTTATTAACTAGCAACAAAAGGGAAAATTAAAACAAAAGTTGCAAATTAAGAACAGAATGGGCAACAATTTAAATACAGTATTTCAAAATTGTTTAATCCTTTTTTCTGCTGAGATGTTTTGAAGAAGGTCGTTTTAAGAGATTTTCCTATAGAAAGTTGTCAATAAGGAGATGCTAATAAGGGGCAGAAGAAGATATCTGCAAGTGATTAAAATTGTTTATTTATTGTCATCTTGTATAAATGGCAAGAGAGGATCTATAGAGTTTATCTATATGTATGCTTTTTTTCTTTTGTATTGAACTCATGTTTATGAAACTTGATTATTGGTGCAAAGTATTCTCGTTAATAAGTCTTGAGTTACAACACAGAATGCTAACTTGAAGTCTATAAAAAAGGTTAACTTAGTCTGCAAATTAATAAAACAGGTATTATCACAGCTGGCCCAGAAGAAGAGAGAAAAGGAGGGAATACTATTTGTTTTGAGAATTGATACTTTCCTTATGTAGCAGAAAAGAGTCGAGATAAGTTTGAGTACTACTCTGACACTACCACTCATTTTTGTAATTAGCACACAACAATAGATATGCCTTCTTAAAACAGTACCCAAGTTATTAAGATTAGTTTTAGGTTGCTGTATATATTGAATGCTAAAACCTTATCACAAAAAGCCTGTCAATCTCTAATCAGTAGTAGGATAGTAAAAGAATGCAGAAGTGACTGGACCTAGTGTAAAAGAAAGGCATCATTAGTCTCACAATGTGTAAAGATTTCAAGCCATTTCATAAAATGGCCTTTCTACTTTTATCTCTCTTCCCTCTCAAGCAAACAGTCCTATCTGTGGAAAAGTATGCCTTAAAGAAAGACTTCAGATAGACCACCACCCTACTTGTATATGAGTAAATCTGCATGCCTTATTTCTGTTATATGTGGTCTTTGGTGTCCAAACGAGTATCAAAGTTGAGGTTTAATCATAGGGAGATTAACGCATGAATTAGTAATTTCATTTGCTGGTTGTATAAATTAAATTTTTGTTTTTAGCATGGTAGCCTATAGGCCAGAAAAGGCAATATTGCTTGACATTTTTTTCTGCTTGTGCCTGAAACCAAGGTTAACAGGTTTTCTTTAGTAATTTAGATATAGTATACTTTTTTACTATTTTGCTCTCTTAAGTCTTACCTATAACGTGTGTGGCCCATGATAGTCTGAATCTTAGCCTTTTACGATATATGTCCAAAAATTCATTGTATAAATTTGTATTTATAAATTCATACATAAATTTGTATTTATGAAATTCTCTGACTACGTGAGCTCTTTGGTTGCAGCTGCCTGTCTGGGGGTTTGGGAAGTTTTGGCTATGTATTTAGTATGATGACAATTTCTGGTTTAGGTACTTAAGAACTATTTGTTACATTCTGACTTCGGCAAATGTTGGATTGCTTTTTCCAGTTTATGTAAGTAAGCTATTCAAGATTGTAAGATAGTTTATGTCTCTTCAATGTGTAGAATGTGACAAGAAGAGGAAGCAGTCCTGGGAGCCTGGAAGTTCCTAAAGACCTTCCTGATATATTGAACAAGCAGAACCAAATGCGTCCTGTAGATGACCCAGGCGTACCTTCCGAATGGACATCACCTGCCAGCGCGGGCAGCAGTGACCTCATCAGTTCAGACAGTCACTCTGACTCCTTCAGCGCCTTCCAGTATGATGGCCGCAAATTTGAAAGCAAGTATATTTTTCCAAAAGTAATAGCATTTTTTTATTAAATGATTACAAATTCCCTTTTTTTTTCGTGGTAAAGTTGTGTGCCAGCAATTTTCTGTAGAGAGAGATTAACTTGCTAATCATTTCAAAATAATGCAGCAAGAAGAGGCTAATGTGGTTTTAGTATATTAAAAAAGAGAGCAGTGGAATGATACTTTTCAAAATATTACTTGTGTGCAAAAAGCAGAACAACACTGAACAGAAGTTAGAAAGCAATATTGTCTTTTCCCTGGAGTGCATCCATCTATTTTGCACAAAATATCAAACTTAAAGGTTACTTACTTATTTTGGAAGTGTTTTTAATTCTTTTGAAAACACTTAGGCAAAACTAAAAGAAGGGCTTCTGATATTTTTACAGTGACCTTTGTGTAGCTATAGATTAATCAAGATACTAAGTGTATTATCATGGTTAAATGGGTAAGCTTTGTTAAAATTAATGTGCTTTGTGTAATAACATAATGCTTTTCATTCATTTTGTTTATCCATTCTCACCCTTGTTGAACAGAAGGGGTCATTATGGTTGCTAGGAATTATGGCTTCATATATTACATAAGATAAAAATAATGTTTATATGATAGAATTTATTGAAGAAATTGCAGGTTTTAGATGTGTTGCTATTATGCAACTACGTAATGGTATTTAAACCTACATTTCAGCCTGACATCTTTCTTTAGTGTTGAAAATAACATTTGTTAGAGTATCATTTGTCATAATATTTTTAGTTTAGTGTTTTTACAACAAACTTGAATATTTCTTCCAGCTTGTAAATTTTGCAAATAAATTTTTTATATATGAGTCCATTATTTTTACTTTATTTGCATGTAGGTGCCCTTACAGCAACCAAGCAGAATGCAGGACATTAAACAGGAATGTCTTATGGAGATGTTTAGTCACGGGTTCAATCTTACAGGAAAGAGATTATTCAAAGTAGTGAATTATTTTGTGCTGTTACATTTTATGTAAATTTTGCAACAGTGCATTAGTAGCATAGAAGATGCACATACAACATTTCTATGGAGGAGTTTGGAGATCCTGGGCCTTTGAGTTTTTTTTGTTTTAGTGCTGTTTGAAGGTTCTAAGTTAATACAGTGTTTTCCTCACAGATTTCAGCTTTGGCACTGAGGCAGGGACACCAGCTTCTACTGATGTTGATGCAGTTTCAGGACAGCAGCAGAGTGCCGAGGAGCAAGAACTGGCCAGTCTAACTACACTTCACATAGATTCAGAAACAAGTAGTCTCAATCAGCAACCATTGTCTGCTGAAGCTGCAACTATTACCGGTAAAGTAGATTAAAAAAAAAAGCTCTAAAAAAAAAGTGCATTTATTTCTGAAATTTTTCACCCATCCTGAAGAATGCAAATTCCAGCTTCTACATGAATCTATGTTCTATTTAAGATGTTTATTTCAATTATTTTTGACTGCTATTGAAAAGTAATGTGTGAAATAACATAAGTCAAAAACCTTTGTCTGACTTAGTTACCCCTAGGATCTTAAGCTTGTTCCTAAAGGTATTTTTAAACCCTTCATGACAAAATCTGTACAATTATCAAGGAGAAACTCATACCACATTATGTATGCTAGATCTCTTACGAGTGTCCTTCTATTACTAGAAGTTAAATAACTGATTTTCAGGAAAAGTTTTTCTTTGAAAGGCTTTGACAGAGCTCTTTCAAACCAGTGTATCACTCTGAAGTATCATGGGATTCTTTTGTATACATCCATCTTAATGTCTCTTTATATTGTCTGTAAAATGTTATTTTGCCATGTAACATCACTTTCCATTGGTATAACTTAGAAATTGTTTTTATTTTAGTACTTTACTAGTTTTCATGAAAAAGTAAGCCTGTAAAGAAGGAGTGTTTAACAGCCTCAGTTGGTGAGGTCAATGCTCCACCAGTTTATTTTGCAGCTGTTTCTTGAGAGAGTGAGAGAGAGAATAATGGAGTAGCAACCACCAAGTGATGCGGTTAACCCCGACTGAATGGGCTTCTTTCTCAGAGACAATCCCTCCCTATGAGGAGTATTTTGAAGATTGGTCTCTTCCCAGGTTTTGTAAATCCAAACTAAAGATGTCCATAGTCATTTGCATACTCCTTGTTCCATGACTGTTACACACTACCATTCGTGTTACAACCCTAGCTGTAACAAGTAAAAAGTTCCAACAGGAAGTACCTATTTATCTGTGAAAGCTTGTACCTACATACAGTGTTTTATTCTCTGTGAGAAATCAAACTCTGCATTTTCAGAGGTATGGAAAGACCTCTTTACTTCCCCCCACAGTTTTCACTTTTTAGCAGTGCCCTTCGGGTGAAAGAAGCATGGTATTAGCTTTCATGGACATTGTTGTTCGGCTTGTTCAACAATGTTCAGCTTGACTTTTGTCCTCTTCATTTTCCTCTTTACTGTGTTCTTGTTGAAAGTCCTTGCTGAAGATCTGTTCTTTTTCTGTTTGTGTGTATGTGTTTATATGTTGATTATTTCATTACTGTTTGGTATTTTTGTCCAAGTTTGCACTATAATTGAATTGATAAGATTGCAATTAATGACTGAGTTGTCCATTGAGAAATTCTGTGGTGGTCTCTTCTTGTTTGGACTACTGTTTTAGAGAGGCAACTTTTGTGTGTCATGTGCATTGAACTGGGTTTCCTGAGGAAGCAATACTTGTACAATTCTCTGTCTCTGACTGTTCCACTCACCCAAGGATATTGGAGCCCATTGTCTAATTTCTGCTAAATTGACATAGAAAAAAACAGAAGGGTATTATTTTCTTTGATGTTTTATGAAAGACAGGCAGCTAGCCAGTGAAAATTGCATGTATGCAGAGTCCCATGAGAGGGAAACCGCAACATGAACTTCACTATATTAGATGCCATCAAATCAATGCAGAAACTCAACCTCAAAACACACGCATAAGAAACAAGTTTTCAGTGGTTCTGCTGATCAGAAAACTACTCCTTGCAAATAGTTTTATCTTGAAGGTTTATGGAAGGAAAAATTCTTTTTTGTATATGAACATTATTTCATATTCTTAGTAAATGAGAGAGTTTACCATTGACTGCTGTTTGCCAGTCCTAGAACAAGTTGAACCCATGGTAGTCTCAGTCCAATTTAGATCCTCATATGGTGAAGTATCTTTTAGTGACAGTCTCCTGTAGTTCCACAAATTTTTCATCATTATTTCTGTCCATTCTCTTCCATCATATGAAGCTCTCTTTCCCTCTTTCCTCTGCTCCCTCCCTGCCTTCCCTGCCTGTTCATTCTTTCCATCTCATTCCCTTTCCTTCCCTTTCTGTCTCAGTCTCCATCACTTTCTCTCCTCCCCATCGTTCTTTCTTGCTCCTTCTCTTGAACTACTTTCATCTATCCCTAACTAATGAGCAGAATGGAAATGAAGTAAGAAAAGGTTTCTTTGAACATCTTTTAAGGGTGTATCTTACCTTATCTTTGTAAGCATGTGGAAAACAAGTAGTCAGTAGCAAGAGGGAAGTATCATTACCTGTTGTGTGAAGCAGTGATCTGTGTGCAAAGCAGTAGTGCCCCTCTCTCCTGCATAGAGATGTTGATTTAAATTGATGGTAAAAGCTTCATTGCCGTGGTCATTTAAAGGAGATGGAGACCTTTGCAGTTTAACGATGTAATTGAGATTGTTTACTGCAATTTCTGTTTTGATAACGCTGACATTTTCTGTCTAGTTCTTTAAACAATTTGTTCTCTTTACAAAAAAGAACACTTTTCTCAAGTGAGAAGTATTCTCTCAATTAATCTCACCATAATTTGGAAAAATTACTGTTTTAAAAGACTCACTTATTCATTGCTGTCCCTAAAGTTCAGTTTATCTCTAATACTGAATTTCACATATAGTGGTTTTGGGTCCAAGTTACATTTATCTGAGAGTTAAAGTTAATAGGTTTGAATTCTTCCATTTTAATGTGTACTGATGTGTAGGAAAGTCTGGGTGAATATCTGTTCTTTTTTTGTCTGTCACATGACTGTTCTGGCTGAACTCAGCTTTTTATAATAAACTTTAGACAAATTCAGGATGTGAAATGTAAGATAGTGTAAGAAAAATACAAGTACCTACTCCCTCTCCACAGATAAAGTAGTAGAGACCACATAGTTGTCTAGAGAGGTAGCTCGGAGATGAACACAGAAAAATGCCTTTACAGCACTGCCATTCACACTTCTGATTTCCTGTCTTAGAAGAAGTAAAACTCCTCCAACTATATAGAACTTTCCCTTCATACAGATTTTCTCAGCTCAATCAGCAGATAAACATCAAAGATTATCAGTTACTGGTTTGAGTTTTTATTTATAAATAAACTTGTATGCATCAGTAAACCTGGAAAAGCATTTGTTCCAGGAAGATTTTTGCTTAAACATTTTGCTGGAGAGAAATTTAAGTGAGAATGTGATGAGAAATTCAGCTGCTTCAAAATGCTGAAATTGCTGCAGAACAAACACATTTAAAATTATTTGGACCTAAAATAGAGGTCTGTTAATCCTCTGATTACCTGACTGATTTCAATGTTCATCTCTCAGCTTTCCTGCATGTAGTTTGTTTTCTTTCAGAGCGCCATTCACAGGGAGATCTTCTTACTGTTTTTATATTTGATACATAAAAGCAGCTCAGTTTTCTGTTATTGCTGTGTTTAGACAACATTTCAGTAGCTCAAGAAAATGGAAAAGGCTTTTAAGGTAACTGTTCAAAATTGCATTTACAGGCTCTGAAAGTGCTTCTCCAGTCCAATCTGCTCTTGGATCCCGATCGCAGACACCCTCTCCTGCCACTCTTCATGCAGATCATATTGAGCAGAAGGATCTGCAGCTGGATGAGAAGCTCCACCACTCTGTTTTACAGACGCCAGATGATCTAGGCAATATCTGGAATAAAAAATACAAACCTGTTCTTTCTTTCTTTCTAGTGCAATATAGAGAAGTAGTATATGTGACTAATATCTCAGGAGTTGTAAGCAATCCTGTACAAAACTGTTTCATCTGCACTTAAAAAATATTTAATTTCAGAGATTTCTTTTAAAAGCAAACAAAGACCTTTTACATTTTATCCTGCATTTCATTAGAATTATTAGCAGTGGATTAATAGTCCACACATTTATAATTGTTCTTTTAGTTGCTCAGAATTGTGGCAGCTTAATCTAGTGTGTGACCCTGCCATGGATTGTTTTATTGATGAAAAAATAATAAGACATAATTTTAAAGTAATGTTATAATTTCTCCTTGAAAGTTTGGTTCTTTTCCCTTTCATATTTAAACAAATTTGTAATTACATCAACTATCTTAGCTATTGAATTCTGAGATACATTCACTTTGTAAATACGATGTGCGCGTTTCTCCCATATGTGGTCTCATGGAAATAGAAGAGTGTCTGACATATATTTCAGACCCTTTTCTTTAAGTAGCCTACTGATGAACAGAAATATCCTTTTGCTTTGTACTTCGGAATCTACAGCCTAGAAACCAATTAGTGTCTCTACCACAGTGGTCCAGATATTCAAAAGATGAGGCTATGTAATTAGGCTGAATTCAGATTTAAGTTTGACTTGGTTTGCCTGTGGGAGCTACGAAATTTCCAGAAGATCCCAGCAACTTCTGTTGCTGAGGTGTTTTGAAAATCCGCCTGAGGGGGTGGAAAGAAGATTCTGAATGCCTGCTGCTTTAAAACTGTGACTCAATAGCTAGTTTCTTTTGGCTCTTTAGATAATTAAGTATGATCTGAGTAGACGCGAGCCATCATAATCTATTGAAGGTTTCCTTGTATGGACAGTCTAGATCAATCATCTGTGTGGGGAGAGCTAGGTGAGTGTTAGGCTGTGGTGCTAGGTTACTGAATGTTGCCTCTCCACTGATGTATTTACTGCTTAAAGGACAGTAGCTAGAGACAGGTTTGCTCTCACCTTTCTCTTCAATTTGGAATAAAATACATTCCTAGTAGATTCTCAGGAAAGTAGTCTTTGTGTTTTTTTGGGGAAAATGTAAAGTTGAAACATAATTTTACTTGAAAGCAGGCAAGTGAAGTTCTGGAGATTCATTGACTCCGAAGAATGTAGGACAACACTTAATAAAGGAGTGGCCTTACTGGGTCCATCTGATCTGTATTAGAGCTCCAGAAGTGACCTTAAATGTTATTTATGGAAAGAATATAAGAAACAGGACAATTTTTCCTCTACAGAGTTTATAATAGACATAGAGTTTAACATATGCAGTGTTGAGGTGGCTGAATGGGTAAAAAATTGCTTACTCTAAAAGCCTGATCTTTTGGTTTTAAGAAGACTATGTATGTAAAAGTTACATCAGAAGTTTTGTTTTTCTGGAGTTGTATCTCACTATACTTTTTTTAATCTGTTACAGAAACTAGTGAATTCCCCTCAGAATGTTGCAGTGTGATGGCTGGGGGAACACTTACAGGATGGCATGCAGATGTTGCTACTGTGATGTGGAGGCGAATGCTAGGAATTTTGGGAGATGTCAACAGCATCATGGATCCAGAGATTCATGCCCAGGTTTTTGATTACCTGTGTGAACTGTGGCAGAATCTGGCCAAGGTAAAAGAGCTGAACCTTTTCTCTGACCTGACCTGTTAGGGCAGGATTTTCAAAAGGAAAAAGCCAACATCTTATATATTTCCCTTTAATAATTCTCGTTTTGTTTTGTTTTTAATAATTGCAGATAAGAGACAATCTTGGTATTTCAACAGATAACCTAACTTCACCGTCTCCCCCAGTTTTAATTCCACCACTGAGAATTCTAACACCATGGCTATTCAAGGTAAATTTTAGCACTAAACTATGAAACAGAAATGAAAGTTAATGTAGGTGCAGAGGAGTGTTTAATGCAATTTCGAAAATTTTGAACAATAAATATTTTTTTAAAATTGTAGGCAACAATGCTGACTGATAAATACAAACAAGGAAAGCTACATGCTTATAAACTTATTTGTAAGACAATGAAACGAAGACAAGATGTTTCTCCAAACAGGGATTTTTTAACTCATTTCTACAATATAATGCACTGTGGACTTCTTCACGTTGATCAAGTAAGTTTAAGTGTGAAGTTCAAGGTAATATAAATAACTGAAAATAAAATTATTTTCTCAAAAGTACTCAATGGATTTCCAGCTGAGTAATTTAATGTTTTTAAAAATAGTTATGCCGTTGATACTTTTTTAAAAAGAAATTTTTGATAAATGGTCTTCATGTCCTTGGTTGTAATCAGAAATCCTTTTTTTTTAGTCCATTTCAAGCAAATATGAAGGCAGAAAATGTACTTTCTCATTTTCATCGATTATATGTTACAGATTGAAGTATGCAAGAAAGAGAAGGAAGCAGCTCTCTCTAAAGTCTACTGTTCTTACTTGCTCCCTGAAGCAACAGTTTAGCTAGTAAATTGTGCTCACTGCATTGGAGGGCTTTGTTTCTACAGCAAGAATAAGAACCAGCAAGCTGAGATGTACTGAGCAGATCTAATCAGTGGGAGGAGATCTTTTTCATAGGTTTTAATATTAACAAGTATGAAAATATTGGATGGCTTAAACACTCTTTTTAAAGCTTTGCATCAGAAGTGTGAAAATGTTGAATTTGAGAACTTCTTTGAGGAGTGGTTATAGGCATAGTGAGATCAAAGGTTCAAACAATCCTGTTTTCATTAACTGGGCAAAATAGAATTAGTCCAAAATTATTCCACAGATGGCTATGGATAGGACAGATGTCCAGTTTCTGTCCTCCAAAAACCAGTTTGTGCTGCTTTTCTTGCTGGACAGCACATCTTCCTATAACATACTGCCATTTAGTTGGATATTACTACTCGTGAAGAATTATTCAGAGGAGAAAAAAGGGTTTGTTTTCTTTGGCATATCTGTGAACTTGGGATGGTTTTTAATAATTTTATACTTTTCCAGTACTTTTGAAGAAATTGCATCATGTACAGAAATTTTAAAAGTGCTTCACTAAGTCTACAAGAACACAATATACTGTGTTGAATAACTACATACGGGCAATCTTATAAAACACTTTATTATCTTTCTTTCTTTATATTTTGATTCCATATGGAGATATGTAAGAGGCTAATATCTTTTTGTTGACTATAGTCAGGTAGTACTTAGTGGAGAGGATTAAGCATGTTTTTAAGAAGGTACAATAGCTGGTTATCTCACTATATCTGTTCGGTACATACTCAAATGGATGGTTAATCAGTTATAGAAATCTTAAAGCTAAATGTAAATTAACATAAGATCTGAACTATTGTCCAAGATTAAATTGACCTATAAAGTATACCACAGTCTACTTACATTAATATGAGTATACTTAAGGAATTTATCTTTTTGTGCTACTCTTCACTCGTAATGAGCATCTTAATGGCCACAATGAATTTGATTTCTCACGTTTTTACTTTCTACCCTTGATAAATACTTGCCTTTTTTTCTTCATTTTTCATCTTGATTCATGTTGATACTCTTCCTTTTTCCCCCTTTTTCCTCTGCAAGGATATTGTCAATACAATCATTAAGCACTGCTCTCCCCAGTTCTTTTCACTTGGTTTGCCTGGTGCTACCATGCTTATTATGGATTTCATTGTAGCAGCAGGAAGAGTGGCTGCTTCGTCGTTCCTCAATGTAAGTATTCATCAGTTAATTCTCATCTGTGGATGAGTGGGAAGAATTTGAGAGAAAACTGAACAGTATTTTAACTTGACTGGGGTGTTAACTTGATCTCAGTATTCAGTGTAACGGTTTTCAAATACAGATAATGTCAGTGATTTATTCTAGAACACTACACATGCAAGTCCTCTCCAGAAAATAGGTGAAGAATGCAAAAATTACTGTTGAAGCAGAAAATCTTCTTTTACTTCAGAGTTCTCAGAATTGTGACTGCCATTTTTCTGTGCTTTAACATACTTTAAAGTAAATGTCCATTTTGCCCAAGATTTCATTTTAAAAGAGTATTTATCCCTCCATATCTCTGCTATGCAATGACTTTCATGATTAGGCTTGAGAACTCAAATCTGCTAGCATTTGCACTATTTGAATGTACTTGTGATATTGTTACTCAGGCAGGTTCAGCCTTATATAGTAATACTGCTGTGTGCTGTTGACCTTGCATGATTGTACTCTCTCAAAGCTTCCCAATAATTCCCTCCAACTGTCTGTGAGTTTTGACTGTTTATCCCATCATTTCCCCTCTAATCAGCTATGAAATGCAGCCTCCCTCAAGGTACTATCTGAAGCCTCTGTCAGCTTCTTACACTGTAGCCTTTTCTGTTTCATGTCACAGCTAGTAATTTTCCACATCTTGTTCAATTAGCTGAACCTAAGACTTTAGCCTAGTTAGCAGTTCAGTCATTTCTCTGTAGTCCTAACAATTCCTTTGCTTCCTTTTGACTGTCTTGGAAAGTGGGATCATGGGGTGTGCATGAGTAGCAATCCAAGGGGCTGTGGTCTCTGTTTACTAACTCTGCAAAATTTGCAGGAGAAAGGAAACAGCTAAACAGAGTTTAGCTATTGTTCTCTTTTAAGGCAGCTAGAAATGTCAGCTTCCTGATTGCAGCAAGAATATATATATTTCTCCCCACCTTTTTTTCTTTTTTTAGGCACCAAGAGTTGAAGCACAGGTTCTTTTAGGATCTCTAGTTTGTTTTCCCAATTTATATCGTGAACTACCAGCTCTTCACCCAAATATTCCTGACATTGCTGTGTCTCACTTTACGGATGTTAAGGTAGGAATTTTAAGAATATTTTGCTAGTATTCAGCTAGTATATGTTTAATATGGTGTTTTTCCAGAAAATACTAACTAAAATTTTAAGACCCTAAAATTTTTGAGAAATAATTTCAAATAGATTATAAGACTCAAGATCTCATAAAATCTTGTAAAGTATGTAAACATACTTTATAATTGCTATTAACTTAATAATAAACTGTTTTCTTACGTTTATAAAAGGAAATTATGTGTTATCTCACCCTTTCAAGCCTACTCTCATTAGGGCTATTTGCGGGTCTCAGTTTTAATCAGCTGAGACAGAAGTTTGAGAGGCTTAAGATTCGTTATTTAATTTATTGAGAGTTCACAACTGGTAAAATCTGCCTGTGTTCCTAGGGGCTTTAGAAAACTTCTGTACATCAATGTGTTCTTTTAGCCAAAAGGCAAAGATTAATGGAGACCTTACCCTGTATATCATGAAACAGACTTGGCTAGTATGCCAGTATACGGAAACTGCACAGAGCTCAGTCTAAGAAAGGCTCCCCTTAAGTTTTTGAAACTGTTTCAATTTAGGGAGAAATGATGACTTGAGAGTTGCTTTATACCTTGCTCCTCTTTGGAGACTGATTTCGAATTCTTTCTTTCTTATTTCTATTATATAATGGCTGTTTATTTGAACTGTATTGAGGGCAACCTACAGCTTTCTGGACATTACACTGCAGTTGAGTCAAAATTCTTCTTTATTCTGCAGCTAGTTGCAAATACTTTTAAAATTATTTAATTTTTTTAAAATGCTTGTTTAAATCTGGAAGTAGTAGATTCTTTCTGTCATATCTGTCAGCACTATTCACAGAAGCTTCAAGGAGTCCCTTATTGGTTTTTTTACCCTTAATATTTTGTGGAAATGTTTTGACAAAAATTGGATAAATAGTTCATCAGCAGAAATTAGGACAGAAACTTGTGGGATATTCTTGGGGTAGCACAATAATGAGCATCTGGGACAGACTAGAAGGTTGGAGTAGTGGTAAGCAAACAATTCATCTGACCAGAACCTAGACACTTAGCTAAGCAACATGCTTGTGTGCACTATAATAAAATTCTGATTTTCTGATGCTTCATGTTACAGAGTTATGGGTAAATCAATGAGTGTTTTCCACTTTGTTTTAGGAACTCATAATTAAAACTGTGTTAAGTTCAGCAAGAGAGGAGCCATCTGGTCCTGCACGGTAGGTCATATAAAAAGAGCTACTAAATTAATAGATTTTTTTCTTTATTAGACTGTTTTGAGGGGGATATATTCGAAATCTTAAAGTAAAAGTTTGTGTGCATTTTATTAATGATTTTCTTCATCACAAAACTATGATCCACCATGTGAATTTGAAATTGTTTGTAATAGAGATATTAAAAGAACAGACTGGGCTGGTCTAAACCAATATCCTTTTTCTGATACTGGTTGATAGGAAAGAGTGTAAATATGGGTAAGAGAATAAGCTGTATGCTTTCCCAGCCTACCCTGGTGTTCAGCTCAGGCATTTTCCATACCACAGAGGCATTTTTTACTTTCATTGAAGACAAGACTATTTATAAGGGGAAGGTATAGTTATTTTTTATTAGACCACAGGATTTAATTTGAAAAACAGAAACAATACAATGTAAAGGAGCTTTTTTTTATGGTATGGACAAGAAGCAGAAAATATTAAGCTAAGCATTAAACTGAGAATGGTTGCTCTGATGCTTAAACTTAAGCATCTTCATCAAGTAGGGGACTTCAGAGAGGATAGTTATCGGTTTAGGATTTTGTTCCTCCTTACCCATCCTCAGAGGCTTTCACTTGGAGTTTTGCCTATGGGATCGGAACAGGAGTCTGTAACACCTACCAAGGAAGAGCATACTTGTGTGCCTTACGTGTTTGGGAAGAATGTATATATATGTCCAAGTAATATATATTGTCACTTAAAAATACTAAAACTACATACCTGAAAAACTACAAGCCTGGAAAGATCAGCTTACCGAACCTTTAAATGTTTTGCTGGAAAACCAAGAACGGTTTTCATCAGCCCACCTGTTTCTTCACTTGATCCAATAATATCTCTCAGCACAGGGGAAGGAGGGAATGTTCTGAGATCATGTTAATTTCATTTTTCCTGTTCTTTACAAAACTGATTTCTGAAAAGCATAACACTCTTCATTTTGCTTTTGAAAAAAGTAATTTAAATCCACTTGGTTCATAATATTGTTTCTGATCTGTGGCACTGAGGCACACTGTATGGGTATCTTCAGTTCTGACAGTGTAACTGGGAAGAGGAAGGGAAAATCCTGTGCATCCCCATATCCTGTCTGGCTATGAGGGTATGTATATAGAAGTGGAGCATATGTGCATGCACAGCCTTTCAGAATGCTGAGTTTATGCTGCCCCCAAAATGCAGAGTTGGACCACTGTATGTAATAGCATTAAATTAAGATTGAAAAGGAATAGATGCCCAATGTCTCTTTGGGTTACCTGTGCCCCTCACCTTCTTCTGAGAGACAGAAGAGTTTGTCTTCATAGGAGGGATAATGATGTTACCACAGCTTCTGAAACCTGACTGCCTTACTCCTCAGTGGCCATTTATCCACAGTCCTTTTTGGTAATAACTTCTCTGATATCATCTGTTTTACAGCAGTACAGAGTTCATAGGGGTCACACTCTGAGGTTGTCTTTAGGATCTGCATTACAATTTTGCTACATCAGCTCAGCCATTAGTAGAGGCTTAATTGTCTTTGCAACTTCCTAGGAGAGAACATAGGTACATAGCTGGTACTTGGAACATAGATACACAAGCTTTGTGTATCTGTAGTAAGTCTGAGAGATTATATATATTATATACATATATGTACACGCAAGCTATAAATCTCTGTTCCTTATCACTTCCACGGAGGCTCAGCGTTTTGTGTTTTGACCCAACAAGTCTTGAGGGAAGTTACTTTTGTGAAATATGTTCTACTCTCAGATCTCCATCTCTAAAGAATAAGAACTGTATTAATCAAATACCTCTCCTGCTGCTAACAGTCTGAAAAAGAAGTGACAGGTTGATGGACTTAGTGTTCATCTCTTTTTCTGCTTGTGCTCAGCAATCACAGCCTTAACAGGCTGTGATTCTTTAATAATAACATTGTGGCCACATTATTACACAGTTTTTCAGAGACTATTCTGAATAATGATTACAAAACTGGCATTCTTAGTAGAAACCTCCCAGGCTCTAGATATTTTGCATATCAGTATATCACTGGATGTGGAATGGTTCTCAGTAGCATGAAGAAAACTTAAATAGTAACACAGACTTAGAATTGTCTACTCTTCTGTATACTAAATATTTTTTTTTAGTCACTTTACACAAGCTGTCTACAGTTATTGTTAAATCCATGCTATATTCTTATTTTCTTTTTGTCAGAAAGAATTGAAACACATACTATGGACATAGCAGAAGTGTAGATTGCTCCACGTCCTCTGAGGCTGGAGTGTGTTTAAAACATTCCTGGGAGTAGCTTGCAGTAGAAGCTTGTAGTAGTAAATTGTCCTGAAAATTTTCTCTAAGAAGAAAATTACAAAGATCTTAGATTATTCCAATACTTATTTAATTTTTACAGTCAGTTGGATTTATGACCTGTATATAGGAATAATCTTTTCTACTGGAAATTAAATTGTTATGTGTCTTACTGCACATCAGAAGATTTCTAACCATTTCCTTTCTTAAATGTGATTTAGACTCAGTATGCCCTTCAACTTTTCCTCCATATGCAATATTTCCCAAAGTTGTTTATTATTTTTATCACTTTTTTTCCTAGATTCCATCAGTCTTGTTTTTATTCTAAAACTGGATTAATCAAAGTGTACTGGAGGCATTCTTGCAGTTATTCTCTCAGTGGCAATGTACAAAACAGGGTGGTTTTACACTACCATGTAGAATTGATTCCTGTATGTAATTTTGCTACCTGTAAGCATTTTCATGATTCTGTGTAGCCTGAAAACCCTTTTTCTGCAGCACAGGCTTCATAGCCACTTCTGCTTCTGTTCCTATTCTAGCCTTTGCTTTTTCCCTCCCAGGTGTAATGGTTTGCAGTTTACATGACTGGCTTTCATCTTGTTGATTTTGGATTGCTCTCTAATTTTATCCAGAGGATTTTGAATTCTGAAGTTTTTTCTAAAATATTTGCATACTGTGTTCCAGAAGATAATTACTAATGACTCAGAGATGGCTTAAGCTAGCTCCTTAACATTTCTGAACAAATTTCATCCATCTTTGCTGATTTGAACACATATACCTAAATACCCTTTACCTTTACACTTCTATTTCCTAATTTAAATGAAGAAACAACAGAAGTTGAAGTACTTAATCACAGTATGTATACTGTCTATAGCATTCATTTACCCCTCCTCTATTCATCCTTATTTATTGTCAATCTAAAACAATGTAAACATCTATGAACAAGTAACATTTCCCTCTCTTGTCTCTGTGTCTCAGAAGCTCTAAATAAACACGAGCAACTCTTATGTTGGAACAGAGGAACCTTCCACCACAATTTTTACTTTGTCTTAAGAAAATATAAGAATTTCTCATACATTGATTTCAGGTAATAGTTTTAATCAAAAAAGCACATAGAGATGCAGGAGTTCTTGATATCTTTTTGGATTTTTCAGTTGCTCAGAAGGGTGCTTCCTCTGTCCTTTCCTCTGCCTTCACCAGGGTACTTCAGATTTTTTGCTCATTTTTATGTAAGTTATGGTCAGCACTGTAAAGGTTTTTATATAGTTCTTTTGGAAATACTAAAAACATATTTGTTGTTGTATGTCTTTAGCAAGGCATAATAAATCATAAAAATTGCACATTCTTGTAGAATGTTTCTCAACACTTGTCCTCCAATGTTGTCTTACAGATGTGTTGCGCTTTGCAGCCTTGGTATTTGGATCTGTGAGGAGCTGGTTCATGAATCACATCATCCTCAGATCAAGGAAGCATTGAATGTGATTTGTGTTTCTTTAAAGGTGAGAGACTTAAACTTTTACAATGTATATTGACTTGATGTGTAAAGATATTTTGCCTTTTCAAAGTCATGATCCCATTTTAGCGTCCTTATTTTGGTCTCATTTGCAATCCTTACAAAAGAGTGAATTCAGTTTAATTAGTGGATCTCTGAACTGTCAAAAGTTCTTTACCCTTCTTAAAGTTTGGAGGGAATGGTGTGCTGGGAGATAAGATAGTGGATCTTTATCTTAATATACATAATCTGCCACTTTACCCTCTACCCTTTGGGCCATAGTAGTTTGTCCATCTCCCAATCTTCCTTTAATAATCCTTGCAATTCAGATTTGAGTAAAAGCACTACTATCTCTGTCTGGCTTTGTCCAGCTATAGCCTTTCCCACATCCTGGACCCAAACTTCCACCAGGGTTTTCTGCATCTGTTTGTAACTAGATCCAGGAGCCTCTGGTGGATTAACCTTAAGTAAGGGCCAAACTTCCACCCATCCACTCACTCCACTATCCCTCCTTAACAGGACAGGGACAAAACAGCATGAAAAATCTTATGGGTCAAGATGAAGACAGGGAGATTGCTTACCAGCTACCATCATGGGCAAAACAGATTTGAGTTAGGGAAGTTAATTTACTGCTAGTTAAAATAATTTCGGCAGTGAGAAGCAAAGACAGAATTTAAAATGTCACCTTTCCCAGCCCTCCCTTTCAGCTTCACTCCTTCGTTTCCAACTCTTCTGCCTCCCCCCACCCCCCCAAGTAGTACAGAGCAGATGAGAAATGGGGAGTTATGGTCAGTACACAACAGTTACTGTCTGCTACTTCTTCCTCCCTCCTTTCACTGGCTGCAGTCCTTCAGGATAAGCCGCCTTCTGTGTGGACTGTCTGTGGACTGCCCACAGACAGCCCTCAAGAAATATCCAATGCTGCAGTGCGGGGTGCTCCAGGGTGGATCTCCTTTGGCATAGTCTTTTCCATAGGCTGCAGGGAAATTTCTGCTCTAGCATCTGGAGCACCTCTTCGTCCTCCTCCTTCTCTGACCTTTGTGTTTGCCTACTGTTTGTCATTCCTTTCTTTTTTTTTTTTTTTTGGTTTTCCATTCTGTGCCTGTGTGGCATATTTACCCTTTCTTAAATATGTTTTCACAAAGTTGCCACATACTTGGCAGATGGGCTCAGCTGTTCTTTGGTGGGTCCATTGCAGAGCTGGCTGGAACCTTCTTTCTCTGGCATGGGGCAGTCCCTAGCCTTTTCTCACAGAGAATCCCCTGTAGCTTCTCCGTTACCAAAACCTTACCATATACACCCGGCAGAGAACCATACAAAGACACTGGACTACAAAAGTGTTGGAGTTTTTCCTTCTGCAGCATTTGTGTCTTCTGCCTAGGCTAGCCATGGTTGTCCAAGTTACTCACATGCCTCACTAATTGGCATCCTGGGTTACCAGTACTCTTAAAACCTCCATGGTGCATTCTGTTGCCACATTGCAAAAGGAAGAGGCCAGGGTAGAGGGGACACTGGAAGGAATCCCAGCTTTGGGAGCCATCTACCATCTATGCAGAAAGTCTGTCCCAAGCCAAGTTGCTGCCTTGTACTCTTTGGCTACTGACTGAGCAGAGCATCCAGTGTAAGAGGGGACCAGGGAAGAAAGTGGGAAGGTGGCAAGTGCAAAGGCCAGGCAGAAGTTTTCCAAAGCTTCTTGTGCTCCTTGCTCACCTGCTCTCTTCTTGCCCCACCAGCCAAATCCCATTATGCCCATAGCCTCATGACATTCTGTGCATGTTCACTTCTGAGTTTGAGAGTCCCTGCATTATGCAGTATTGTTTCTTAGTGCTGCCTAGATATTCAGAAAGAAATGTAGAGTATTTATGCTGCATGCCTAGAAGGCATTGGAGGATGTTTAATTTGCTGTGGCAGTGCTTTTCTGTACTTATTCCAGGAGCTGCACTCTTTTGGCTTTTTTTTCTGGATAAGTGTTTTTGTTTTCCTACTATATTAAATCTTTTTCATATTTGTTCTTGTTTTATAGAGTAATATCTGTAAAAACATGTCATTTTTTAGCATTTTGCAAATTTGCATGTTTGTGAGAAATAACTTCAACTTTTCAAATATTTTCAATTTATTTGCATTTATTTTCAGAACCTTTCTATGTGCTCTTTGTTTGCATCAAAATTCAATGAATAGTCTAGTCATAGAATCATAGAATAGAATCATAGAATCAGCTGGGTTGGCAGGGACCTCCGAGATCATCAAGTCCAACCCTTCATCCAACACTGCCATGGTTACTAGACCATGGCACTAAGTGCCACATCCAGTCTCTTTTTAAAAATCTCCAGGGACGGAGAATCCACTACTTCCCTGGGCAGCCCATTCCAATGTCTGATCACCCTCTCTGTACAGAAATTCTTTCTAATATCTAACCTAAACCTCCCCTGGCACAACTTGAGACCATGCCCTCTTGTCTTGCTGACAGTTGCCTGGGAGAAGAGACCAACCCCCACCTGGCTACAGCCTCCTTTCAGGTAGTTGTAGAGAGTGATGAGGTCTCCCCTGAGCCTCCTCTTCTCCAGGCTGAACAGCCCCAGCTCCCTCAGCCTCTCCTCATAGGACTTGTGCTCCAGTCCCTTCACCAGCCTAGTTGCTCTCCTCTGGACCTGCTCCAGGACCTCAATATCCTTCCTGAACTGAAGGGCCCAGAACTGGACACAGTACTCCAGGTGTGGCCTCACCAGTGCTGAGTACAGGGGAAGAATCACTTCCCTGGTCCTGCTGGCCACACTGTTCCTGATCCAGGCCAGGATGCCATTGGCCTTCTTGGCCACCTGGGCACACTGCTGGCTCATGTTCAGCTTCTTGTCAATCCAAACCCCAGGTCCCTCTCTGTCCGGCTGCTCTCCAGCCACTCTGTCTCCAGCCTGTAGAGCTGCATGGGATTGTTGTGGCCAAAGTGCAGGACCCGGCACTTGGCCTTGTTGAACCTCATCCCGTTGGAATCAGCCCAACTCCAACCTATCCAGGTCCTTCTGCAGAGCCCTCCTGCCTTCCAGCTGATCGACACTCCCCCCCAACTTGGTGTCATCTGCAAATTTGCTGATGATGGACTGAATCCCCTCATCCAGATCGCCAATAAAGATATTAAACAGGACTGGGCCCAACACTGATCCCTGTGGGACACCACTAGTGACCAGCCACCAACTGGATGCAGCACCGTTCACCACCACTCTCTGGGCCTGGCCCTCCAGCCAGTTCCTAACCCAGCACAGAGTGCCCCGGTCCAAGCCGTGGGCTGCCAGCTTTTTCGGGCGCATGCTGTGGGAGACAGTGTCAAAGGCTTTGCTGAAGTCCAGGTAGACCACAGCCGCAGCCTTCCCCTCATCCACCAGGCAGGTCACCCGATCATAAAAGGAGATCAGGTTGGTCAGACAGGACTTGCCCTTCCTAAACCCATGCTTGCTGGGTCTGATCCCTTGTCCATCCTGTAGGTGCTGTGTGATTGCACTTAGGATGATCTGCTCCTTAACCTTGCCAGGCACTGAGGTCAGGCTGACGGGCCTGTAGTTTCCCGGGTCCTCCTTCCGGCCCTTTTTGTGGATTGGCATGACATTTGCCAACTTCCAATCATCTGGGACCTCCCCAGTGAGCCAGGACTGTTGATAGATGGTGGAGAGCGGCTTGGCGAGCTCTTCCGCCAGCTCCCTCATCACCCTTGGGTGGATCCCATCTGGTCCCATAGACTTGTGGGGGTCCAAGCAGCTCAGTAGGTCACTAACTGTTTCCTTCTGGATTACTGGGGGGCTGTTCAGATTCTTATCTCTTTCTACAAGCTCCAGAAGCCAGGTGTCCTCAGGACAACCTGTCTTACTGTTGAAAACTGAGACAAAGAAGGTGTTAAATACCTCAGCCTATTCCTCATCTTTGATAACTATATTCCCGCCCATATCCAGTAAAGAATGGAGGTTTTCCTTGCCCCTCCTTTTGCTATTGATGTAGAAGGACTTTTTGTTATCCTTCACAGAGGTGGCGAGACTCAGTTCAAGTTGTGCCTTTGTCCCTCTAATTTTCTTTCTACACGACCTAACTATATTCCTAAATTCTTCCTGAGTAGTCAGCCCTTTTTTCCATAATCGGTAGGCTCTCTTCTTTACCCTAATTTCTTTCAAAATCTCCCTGTTCAGCCAGACCGGTCGTCTTCCCTGCTGGCTCGCCTTTTGGCACACTGGGACAGCCTGCTCCTGTGCTTTCTAAACTTGCTTCATGAAGTATGTCCATCCCTCCTGGACCCTTTTGTTTTCAAGGGCTGTTTCCCAGGGTACACTCTGAACTAGTCTTCTGAATAGGCCGAAATCTGCCCTCCGGAAGTCCAACGTAGAGGTTTTATTGACGGCCCTCCTTGCATCCCTGAGTATTGAAAACTCTATTATTTCATGATCACTGTGTCCCAGACGTCCACCGACCACCACATCTCCCACCAGCCCCTCTCTGTTTGTGAACAGGAGGTCTAGCGGGGCTCCATCCCTGGTAGGCTCATTTACCAGCTGGAGCAGGAAATTATCCTCTGTACACTCTAGGAACCTCCCAGACTGCCTCTGCTCCACTGTGTGGAGTTCCCAGCAGACATCCGGCAGATTAAAGTCACCCACGAGAACAAGGGCCGGCGATTTTGAGACATCTGCCAGCTGCTTGTAGAATAATTCATCACCCTCATCATCCTGATTGGGTGGTCTGTAACAGACTCCCACCAGGATATCAGCCTTGTTGGCCTTCCCCCTGATTCTGATCCACAGGCACTCAACCTTATTGTTACTGACTTCAACTTCTACAGAGTCAAGAGACTCTCTAACATATAGAGCTACCCCTCCACCTCTCTTAACCTGCCTGTCCCTTCTGAAGAGCCTGTAGCCACCCATGGTAGCACACCAGTCATGCAAGTCATCCTACCATGTTTCCGTGATAGCGACTACATCATAGCTTTCCTGCTGCACAATGGCTTCCAGCTCCTCTTGTTTGTTACCC